AGCGTAGCGGTAATGCGATGGGGACGATACACCGGTAGCCTGTCCGGCTACGTGGAGAACACGAAAAACGTATTATTCCGCCGCCGGCGCGGATGGCATCCGCAGGGATGAAAGACACCGACACGAGCGTGTCATACCGCGCGAAAAATGCCTTCCTCTGAGTTCGCGCGATCGGAAATACGGACGAAGAAGAATTTATACTTCATCAATCACGTTATCTCTTTAGAGATGATTATCCTCATTTACTCGATTCGTCAAAAACCAACTCGATTGCACTCGCCGGAGACATGATTGACACAACGTTGAAACGCTACGAAGAGAGCATTCCAGAAGAATGCTGCCGTTGTAAAAGAAAGAAATAAAATAAGAGATGCAGAAAATGATTTACCCGATTAAACGCACGATCTTCCGATGATTGTCGGGTGATGTTCTCCGCAGTGTGTCTCCGCCGATCGTCACAGACCCTCACAGACCCGGGGCGATCCGGAGATTCTATCTTCGGCTTTTCGCCGGCCGCCGCGGCCGGCCGGCAGGACGAGCGAAAAATCTCGCACTCTTCTTCGCGTGACACGCGCGTTCAATCGCACGTGGGTGCACGCGTCGCACGTCACAGACCGACGGCGACGGTCGTCCGCGGTGCACACGTACGCGGCACGTTCGGTAGCCGCGCCGATCGAACCCACCGGCCGCCAGGGTTCGACGAACTCTTTGTCTCGAAAACCGGACAAACCATACGTACGTACGTACGTACGTACGTACGTGCGTACGTGCGTACATACGTATGTACGTACGTACATACGGCGGCTCTTGCCACACCGATACGATAGTGCCTAACATACCTCGCGTTTCTTGCCTCTCCCACAACAATGTCGCCGTCGCCGCGGCGGCGGCGGCGGCGGAGGCGGAGGCGATTCTCTCCTCGTGAAACGTCGCCACCAAAAGCGAACGCGAGCCCCCTCCACCCCTTCCTCCTAGCTGCTTGCTCGTTGCTTTGTCCCTCCACGTTACGCTGGATCGCATGTAGAAATGTTGCCGATAGGGTCAAACAATTCGGCTACGAGTAATGAAAGAAGACTGACAATGCCCGAATTGTTGCGCGGTTAATTAAATATCTCCACGTCCGATCGACCGCTAATTCAGCGACTTAAAGTAGGTAGCGCGAAATTGAAGAAGGTGAAGAGGAAGAGAAGGAGAAGGAGGAAAGGAAGAGGAAGGAGAGAAGGTGGAGGAGAAGATGATGAAGAAGAGAGAGAAGAAGGAGAAGAGTCTTCCACTGCCGCAGCCTCAAGGATCCCCGTCATCTGGTTTGAAAGGGGATCCGAGCGCCAAGGATAATTGGTTATAACGACGACGAAGGTGTTCGTCGTAACGAGATTTACTCGCGGTATACATTCGCCGCTTTTTCGCCGGCGCGTTTCGCCTCTCTCTCTCTCATTGTTCGCTTTACTCCGCGCGCGCGCTCGAGCGAGCGAGCGCGCTCGGTGAGTACACGAGTACAACACACGAGTTGCGGTCGTCGGTCCCTAGGATCCTTTAACCGCCGCGGGGAGGACCCCTCCCCTCCCCTCCCCTCCCCAGCCGCGGCCCTTTCCCGAGCCGATTTACGCGGCGATACGCGGGCGAATTTTTACGCGCGTTTTTATGGACGCGCGCAGCGGAGACTTGCGGACGCGCGAACAGCGAAAGAGCGGCCGCGTGCGCGCACCGCAACATTGTTACGGATCGCCGACGGGCCCGCATGTGAGCGCGCGTGCGCGCAGGAAACATAAATATCGTGCCTTCGAAACTCGGTGCGCCGGGGCCTCCGGAATGCTTTCCTCCTTTTACGGAGCCGGGCCCTCTCGCCGGAGACTCGCGCGAGTCTTGCTCGCAACCCTTTCGGCCCGATGCGGTTGCAATTTCGCGAGAGAGCGCTTTTTGCGAGCACCGGCGCAATCTGGTAGCGCGCGCTGGCCAATGTCGTTCCGCGGGATCGCGTCTTTAAAAGTTTAAACCGCCGCGCTTCGGCCAAATTGCACGGCTTGAGCCAGCAGCCGCCGACGGCTCCGCCGGCGACGATCCGGCGACGATCCGGCGACGATCCGGCGAATCCAGCGCCAGGACGAACGGGGCTGTTTAATAACTGTATTTAGCACGTTGAGCGCACGTTGTGCCAGAGCGGTGAGACCCGGGGCCGGGTCTCGTTCATTTTTACCTATGCAATTAATTAACTGAGTGTGACAAATTAAATACGTAACCGAGACATAGAGCCGACGAAAGCAATTACATTTATTTGCCGCATCTTTGATGGCTCAAGCTTGAGAGAGCTATTGAAATCGTCACCCAGTCGTCCTGTCGCGCCAACATCGTATATCGAATACCGACATTCTTGCGCGGCTCTCTCGCGCGAGGCCTCCCAATTGATTTCTACTCGATCGAATGTCCTGGCAGTCTTGATTGAAATAATCGCAGCGAGAAGTCGCAGTCAACGTGTTAAACGCGTGCGCGATGAACTTCCGGTCAAAGCTACGTCGGGTCGGACGACTTGAAGAATACCTCGCAGTTAATTGGATTCCATCCAATTATCGTGCGGCCGAGGAAAGTCCGCGAATGAAAGAAGAAGAAAAAAAGGAAAAAGACGCGAAATTTGATCGGGGAACAATTTCGACCCGCTGATCAACGGCGAGAAATTGGCGCTGGAAATTCCTGACGGGGAATTTCCGGAGAGCTCACTCGGATAGCAGACGCTTCCAGACACTCCGTGTCATCCTCCAGGATCGCAGGCGGTTCGTCAAACGGTTTTCCCCAACCCCCGCGCCCGCATCCTCTTCTCTGCACCTTTTCGCCTTTCGCTCGACCGCGACGAACCTCAGGCCATTGTTAAAACTTTTTCGAGGTTATTACACGTAAGATATGTAAATGCGTCGCGCCGGGGTCGGTCCTCGACGTCGAAGGACCAGCTCCGGTCGTTCTCGCTCGCTCTTTCGGGCCCTTCTCTCTCTCTCATCTCTCTCTCTCTCTCTCTCTCTCTCTCTCGCTCGCTCGCTCGCTCGCTCGCTCGCTCTTTCGGGCCCTTCTCTCTCTCCTTCTCTCTTCTCTCGGCTCCTTCACTCTGCTCGGCAGGGGCGGATCGGATGGCAGGCGGCGAATAATTCGCGAGCCTGCAAGGCTGCGTCATTTCTGCACGCGTGATTAGCCGCCGTTCCGTTTAGACGCGAATCGACTGGCGCCGCGAGACTTTCTCGGAACGTATACGACCGATTGACTCTCGTGCTGTCTTCTTGGTATTTCTACATGGACGAGTGGAAATTGTGACTACACGGGAGAGAGACAAGCCAGTCCGTGTAGCTGAATTGTCTGCTGCCTGAATTGTCTCCGGCCACTGCGGAAACTAGAAACGGAAACAGGTAGGGAACCGGAAGATTCCCCCGCGGGAAGTTTCTATTCACGAGCAGCCGATCATTCCCGTTTTCACCGACGTCGCGATTCGACCTAAACTCGACGATTAAATTCTGAGCCTGTATTCTTGAAAAATGTCGCGTACGATATGCTAATTCATGCTAATGTCACTAGACAAAGGCATGATTCTCAGCCAATCAAATTGCTCCATCGATGAAATATCGCGCACGATATTTTTCATATACTTTGGAGAATAACAGTCCTGTTCAGACAAAGACTCGAATCATTTCTATCGAATTTTCCAATGCAACCGCGTACGTGCAGACGAGTTTCCGGTTGCGACGACGAGAGATATCCATCTCTCGTCACCGAGTTTTCGTCTAGACACTCCATTCAGTTATACCAGTTATACAATTGAGATCCCCCTCCCCGTTTCTCCAGATCACCTTCTTTTTCTCTCGATTCTCTCCCGAGTCTCTCATCATCAAATACCGTCAAATGGACGACAATTGACAGTCGTCTCGTACGTCTATGACGATCAATTACCTCTCGTCAAGTGTCCCTCGGCGCGACTTGAACCCGCGTCCCTCGAAAAGGATATCCTTTTCGGTGTCCGCTCCTGCTCCTCACCATCGCCGCCGCCGCCGCCACCGCCTCCGCCGCCGCCGCCGCCGCCTCTGCATCGTCATCACCATCTCCCCGACTTCTCTGTAACGGATAGACCTTACCTCCGGAACGGAACTCCAGTCTGCTTTCGGTTTGGCCATCGCGAACGCGCGCCGAGCTCAGTAGGAGCGCGGCGTTCACGACGTGCGCTTCGCTAACGGCGATCACGCGGTCGTCGTCCTCAAAGTCGTCGCCCCGATCGAGTTTCCGGCTGCCGAGGGGAATCGCGCTACGAATCGCTGTGTCATAAAAACAACACCGTTCTGATCGCACGAGCGGGCAGGGGGCGAAGGAAAAGCCGAAAGGTCACGGACGCGCAGGAGGGTCAGGATCAGCTTGTCCCGATCGACCATCGGCGTCTGGATGCCGCTGTCGCGGCGGCGACCGGACACCCAGGATCGGGACACCGTGATGTGACCGGGAGGAATGAGTCCGAAGGATTTCGTGGGTCCGCGAGGGAGAAGCTCGATGCCCGAGAAGAGCCAGTAAGAGTCGCTCCTGCGCGTTTCGAACGTTTCCATCTGACGCTGGGAGGACCGAGAGTCCTCGAGGGCGCGAGACTCGCGCGGCATCGCGAGTAACCGACTCGCGATGTGATCGGCGATTGTATCGCAACACGGAGAAGTTTCCGTGGCGCGTTTTATCCTCTCTCTCTCTCTCTCTCTCTCTCTCTCTCTTTGTCGGTTCTCCGCAGTGCTCAGACTTCTCGCGCGAAGCGGACGGACGTAGCGGATCGCGTCGGGATCCTCAGGACGATAACGAGTGCAATTAGTACTAATCGTGATCGATTAATTATCGCGGCTCCGCGGCCGAGCGAGGCGCGATCGATCGATTAAAGTCACGAACGATCGCGCGATACACGCGCTTCTCCGGCTTCTGTTTTGGCGCGCGCGCGCGAGCGCGCGTCTCGGTCTTGCTTCCTCCCCGTCTCTCTTCTCCCTCGGGAGAAGAGAAGAGCCGAGAGAAGAGAAGGGAAGAGAAGAGAGGAGCCCACGCACACGCTAGCGCTTCTCGCGCAGGAGAGATACCTGTCTTTACGCTCCTCTCGTCGTGTTTCACTCGGTCCGTGCTTCACTCTACTTACGGCTGACCCTGTTCGTAATAATTAATGGCGTTAGACCAAGCGAGCGCGGCTGGCCGTCTCGTCCCGGCGGACTGGTCATGCTTGGCTCCGGCGATAAATACACGGACGGTTCGTCCGCGTCCGATTAATGACACGGTGCTTGGCTTTTCGCGTTATTAAACAATTTCCGAGCGTCCGCTCGCTCGCCCGCACAATTGAGCAGGCTCGTAATTAACGACGTTAGCGCATGCAGATCGCTCGCTCGCTCGCTCGCTCGCTCGCAAGTACCCTCGCGAGCGAGCGAGCACGGGCGCCGAGCACGAGAGAAGCGGCCTAATTGATCGTTAACGCGACGGTCTATCGATCTTTTCCTTTCCACCGCTCTCGATCGTGACTTCCTCGACTATTACGTTATTGTGCTGCGCCGGGGCATCGCGAAAGCGCGAAGCGCACGCTTTAATGAAGTCAGCGGCGAGTCAAGAGGCGCGTTTCTTCGCTTCTTCGGTCGGTTGAGCGGGTTCGATATGCCAGGAGGGCGGGGGGGGGGGAAGAGGAGGAAGAGAACGAGGAGAGCCGTCTCTTTGATAGCCCCGATGTGCGCTGAGACGATATGGTGAAAAATACACGAAAGGCTCGGCCGGCACTCCCAAGTCCGCGCGCGCGCACGAGCGAATTTGACACGCGAGCAACGGAAAGAGATGATAAATCATTAATGAGCTGCCGCATTCCTCGGTTAATGAGATACGCGATAAGCCCCCGGTTGTTTATCCGAAATATCGGACGCTAAGAGGATCGAATTAAGCGGACGCGCGCGCGCTCGTTCGGCCGGAGATTGCCGCCGCTCGGTCCGGTCAATCCCGAACGGCGGAAGGATGCCGAGTCCGACGGCGATTTTTTTCACCCGGCATTCTTCATCGGCGAGATAATCGACGCTACTAACGAATCGAGCAGCGCTCACGGCGGAGACAAATCGCGCGTCCGCCGTTGCTCGACGGACACAGCCGGCGCGCGACTCGATCTCGTATAACTCTTGAATGTCGCGGTTGGGACTTCGCTCGAGAGAAGCGTCAGCGAGAAGATGAAGCGTCAGCGACAGCTGATGATGAGGATTGGCCGCCATTGTGCGTCCGAGTGTGATCGTCTGATCGCACGTGTGCTTGCAGGCGGTGAACCCTGACCGGAGCAGCGGGTGCGTGACTGCAAGGATGCGCGTACGCAGGAGACGGTGCGTGATGTCCCGGTGACGACGACGACGACGACGACGGGGACGACGAGGACGAGCGCGACCGCGACCATCTTCACGACACACACGCGAGCTCGCACGCATTCACTCACTCATTGACGAACCTACGCGCACCGAGCCAGAGAAGAGATAGAGAGATAGAGATAGATAAATAAAGAGAGAGAGAGAGAGAGAGAGAGAGGAGGAAGAGGAGAAACACAAAGATAAAGGAGGCAAACAGACCGAGAGAAAAAGAGCGAAACACGTGACCGCCGATGCCGCGATGAGGCTGGGTCCGATTATCCTGTCGTGGGTCACAGCCACGGCCGGTTGGCTGTGGCCGGCGGAAGCGCGGGCGCCGCGCTCCAGGGACTACGAGCTCTCGACGGAGTTCTTCCTGGTGCCGTCCGAGATCGGCCACGGCCTGGCGAGCGTGGCGAGTGTCATCAGCGTGCCGGCGCCGAACCGGACGGTCAGCGTGTTCCGGACACCGCCGAACAGGAAGGGCCAGGCGGAGCACGAGGTGGAGATGCGACCAACGACGCCGCGGTCCTTGCTGAAGCAGCGACCTTGGGCGCTGCCGTTGGCCGCGCTCAGCGCTGCTGCGATGCTCCTCATGGCCGGTTTCGAGGTCTTCGTGTTGCTCAAGGTGGGTGCAACCCTGAGGTCCGTCGGCGGAGACGATCGATGCTTGAGAGACATTCTCGTCCTAGCGTCTTCGCGACGGATCGACGGACGAACTCGCGAGAAAACCTGTAAAATCGCCAGACTGATTCAACACCGAAGGCCGTTTTTTGCCGAGACTCGACATACTGCCTCGTTACACTCGTTACACGAGAAAGGAATCGGCCGGAAAGAAGCAACTCTTTCGTCTCGAGTAAACAGAAGCGAGTCTCAGGGTCGGGCAGATTTTGTCGCGCCCGAGATCGCGATCGAGTGAAATCGCGGAGAAAGAGAGGAATTCAAATTACAAGCCCGAGACGAAGCTCGTTCAGCTCCACTCGAGCTGTTTCGTCCGATCTTTCCTCACGGTGCGCGGAAGTCGAAGAAGCGGGTTTCAGGTTCTCCCGCGATGCTAAGGTAGCCCACGGGACGTGAATCGGAATGTTTCACAGTCAAGAGCCACAGGCGTTCTCTTGTCGTCTTCGCGGTTACTCTCGATCTCGCATGATCCCGGTTTCGCTCTTCGCTCGCATACGCGAAAACATGCGCTCGGCGATTCTCCGAGGGCGGATTTCTTCCCCTTCTTCCCCGCCCCCCTCCCCAGCAGGGCCCAGCTGTTTCCTGCATGCGAGCGAAATGGAACGCGTAAACACCGGGGTTGGACAACACTTGTCCTCGCTCGGGCGCGTGCGACCGCGCGCGCGCGCGCGATTAATAGAGCTCGGAAAAGAACTCGTCTATCGCGCCGTCTCCTTGCCTGCCGCCCGCCGCCGCTACCCACTAATCGTTTTCGTTCGCCGCTCGTGTATTGCCGATAAGCTCCAGTAACCGGCAACGGCGGGGAATTTCGCCGAGACCTAGGCCCAGTTTGCCCGCGCGACCGGCTTCGGTTTCTCCAGCGCGCACCCTCCGACACACGCCATTGAGCAGCTCTCGGCGAGAAAGGCCGGGAGATAGCCGGAGCCATCCGCCGTGCTCGTCAGGTCGTCCGACGGCTCTCAGGCTACCTCGTGGGAGAGGCGTCTACCTCTGCGCGTCTACGGGATTTACGACTCGTGGAGCGACCTCTCGCCGAGTTCTTTCGCGCTTTCGTCTGTGAGAGCTCGCGTATTGATGTCGTCGGTGACGATGCCGAGCGTGTGACAAAATCGATAGCGGACTCCTCGCGATCGGCTCGGCGCGAGCTGTACTTCGTTACTTCGTTACTGTACAAGAGCGCTGCCCCGCTTCGAGGAAGTCGCCGATTACTCGCGCTTTTGCGTTCACGCGCCGGAGCGTTCCTCGGCTACGCGGCTATCGGTTGGTCTACTAATTAGAGAAATTAAGTCCGCGCGCGCGCGCGAAGGGGCGGGCGAACGGGCGAAGCGGCGAGGCTTAATCCGCGCGTAATTACCCAGCGCGGCTACTTACGCGAGTACTCATTCTTACTACTCCGCTACCGCGCACGCGCGATCCCTCGATTCGCGGAGTTAATAGCGCGAGGACGATATGGAGATCGACGCTGCCGGAGGCGCAGAACTCCGGCGACCGCTCGACGAGAAAGTGCGCTTCTCAGTTAGAACGAGTTAGAACGTCGTTAGAATATATCGATGCTCTCGGGCGAGTCTCGGTATAATTGCTTATTACGACGAAAGCCGCGTCGTGGCGGCGGCGGCGGCGGCGAAAGGGTAAATGAGAATTGCGGGGAGAAGGAACGATTAGCCGCCGCGAGACTAAGAACTGCTCGTTAATTCAGCAAATCCACAGACTGTCTCGCAGACGGTAAATTAGCGCGCAAAGTCACAAACGAATTTTCCGCTGAATCTCTCGGATAACGATCGACGAAAACGAGTTTGTTCCGTTGAGCAGATCGACGATCGCTCTCTCACGCGCAATTTCTCCGTCGCGCGAGAGAAGATCCGGCCGATTGTAACACTTAAGCGATCTGTAAGCGACCAGCGAGCTGTGGATTTGCCGATTGGATCCAGTTTGTTCCTTCCATTCGGCCGATATTTCTTGCTCAGCTGCGACTCAATTGCGACTCGAACGTCTCGCGACGGCGATTTCCTTGCAGGCCCGAGCGACGGCACCGAACAGACGACACTTGTTCCTGGGCCAGGCGTTGCTCCTTGGTCTCTTCCTCTTGGCGGGACTGTCAGCCGCAGCGTCGCTCAGCCAAAACCCGCTGTCCTGCGCGGCCTTCCGATTGGTGGGTCTGCCGGCCGCCCTCGTGTTCGCTGCGCTGCTGGTCAAATGCGTCTTCTTGCTCTCGTTGAACAGCGGCGTGTACCTGCCGGCGCCCTATCAGGTGAGAGGGACGTGCGAATAACTCGTGTTCTATCCGCGAGATGCGCCGGGCCGATAAATAAAGATCCGAACGATGAGCGACGCCGGACACGACGCTCCCGTCGCGCCGAGCCCACGGCCTCAGGATCTCTCGCGTCCTCCCCTGTCGGGCTTTTCATCTGCGACCTGTCAAAATATTCAGCGCCGGCAAATTGAAAGCCGCGCGCGTCCGTCGAAGGAGCGGCGTTCGTCGACGGCCGCCGATAAGATCTGCACGCACGCGCTAATCGAAGTAGGTAACGAGACGTGGAAAAATGTAGACGTGGAATCGTACGATCGTCTCGACATGAAAAACGCGCGGTGAAATTCCGTTTCTCTCGAGACGAATGACAGAGGGAGGGAGAGAGGGGGGGAGAGAGAGAGAGAGAGAGAGAGAATTCTTCCGACGCCGCAACGAGTGACAACGATCCTCGCCTCGCGAATTTTTCCTCCTCGCCTGGCCGCGTCGCGCCACGCTACGCTGATCCGGATATTCATTTCTCACGCGGCTCTCCCCGAACGCTTCCCTTTTTCCCCTTTGCGCGCCACGTTATGTCATCGCTTCGCCGTGCTCGCGACGATTAATTACGCGCGCGCGCGCGCGCGCGCGAGCGAGCGAGCGAGCGCGAAAAGGCAGCCGGGCAATTACCGCGGCGTTGTGTTGGTGCGCGTTAAATGACAGGCGTGGCAGCTCGAGCTGTCTCGGAGCAGGCCTCGTCTTCTCAGGACAAACATCCATTTTTCACGTTCGACATGAAATCCTCCCTCTCCCCCGTGCCCCGGCTTCGGATACCGGCGATATACCCTCGATATCTACGCTCGATTGCCTCTACGCGAGAGCCGCTCGGAGTTGGAAAGGCGCCAGGAACGAAATCGCGAATCTCGACGGACAGGCATGCGCAATTACATTGGCGGTAATTAAGAGAACACCGCCGTGTTCTCCGTCCGCCGTCCGAGATGGAGGAAAGCGGCGGATCGGCTGACGCGAGTGATACTAATACGCGTCTGATGACACGAGAATGAACGGCGGACGCGTGTAATTGCGCTCGCTGTGGCCACTCGAAATCTCCTCACGTTCTCGAGAACGAGCGAACGCGGTAGATAACGAGCGCAGATAAAGGCACGCGTGGAAATTGCCGCGAGCTCGCGAGCTCGCGAGCTCTCTCGGTTTCTCGTCCCTCATTGCCAAGACATCGGCAGTTCAAGCTTCGCGTTCAAGAGCGCGCGCGTGCTCAAAGAATATCTCCGCGTATGTATATCCAGCCGCGCGATATGTCGCTCTCGCGGGGACATTCACCTTTAATTAAAACGATCGACAGCCGTGTTTGCGCGAACGGCTGCGCGCGCTCGAATCGCATAGGCGAGGTAATCGCTCGCGCGAAGGCTTCTTCTTACCGGTTGCTGCTGCAGGCGCTGGTGCTGGTGTTCGCGGTGTTGGTGCAGGTGGCCATTGTCGGGCAATGGTTTTACGGCGAACCACCTGCGGTGATCCAGGTGCAAGGCGCGGGCCAAAGCTCGCCAGCATCATCCACCTCCTGCAAGACTCCGCTCGGACAGATAGTGGCTTCCCTCGGGTAAACTTTTCAAATGTGAACCTTCTTCTCTTCTCTTCTCTTCTCTTCTCTTCTCTTCTCTTCTTCTTCTTCTTCCTTCTCGTCTTCCTCCTCCCCTGCCCCTCCCGCTCCTTCTCTTCCTTCTCCTCGTCAGCGAACCGCGAGTTAAATCGATTACACACGTACCTCCAGCGGCAGCGGATAAGCCGCGAAGAAGCCGCCATCGATAACGCCATCGTGCGCGTGTTCTTCTTCCTCCTCGCGTCCTCCTCCTGCTCCTCGCTTCTCCGTGAGAATTTGTCTTACTTCGTAATCTCCTCACCGCGCGCGCGTGGAGGAGGCTGCCCGTCCAATCGATGAATCACGCGTCGGGAGCATTATTCCCGTCGTTTCCTTTTTTCTTCTCTTCTTTTCCCTTCCTCTCACTTTCATCGCGCGCTTAGCGTAAGCCCGCCGCTTCGTCGAATTACTTTTAAGACGCAGAAGCAGCGCGCGCGCGCGCGCGCGCTTTCACTCCGCGGATGATTCGCGCGTCTCCTTCACAAGGCTGTTGCGCGAATTGCAGGTATCCCGGAGCGTTGCTGGTGGCGGTGGCCTGCCTGGCGGTGCGGGCGCGTGGTGTACGCGACAATAACCGGGAGGCAGCCTTCATCGGGCTGGCGGTCGGGCTCTCGCTGCCGATCTGGATCTCCAGTGGCATCGGCTCGGTCGCGGCCGGCAACGAGGGCGACCGCGAGGCTTGGCTGGCCTACGGTCTCTTGGCCACGTCGCTCTTCGTCTTCCTCACCATGTTCCTGCCTAAGGGCCGGCAACTGGCCGCCCTGGGCCGCGAAGGACCCGCGACGGTGATCCGCGACCGCGACGACGCTCTCAGCTCGCTTCCCGGCAGCGGCTACTCGCCCTCCTTCTTCCACTTCAAGCCCGCCGAGGCGTCGCTCAAGAGGAAGATGCATTATCACAGCGCCGGTAGGTCGCGTTCAGAGGCTGCTGACGAGTAATCGCGCGTAATCGCGATGCGCGGCGAGTCAGGTACACACGACTCGCGTCGAAGTGCGTGCGAATATCAGCTCGCGCGGGGCTCGCGCGATCTCTCCTCCGATCTCTTCTCCGCCGAATATTCGCAAATTTCTCTCGGCGCTGCAGCGCGCACGCACGCACGTGCACGCGGAGGTTACGTCCCGCGGAGGAGTGGTTGCGGCGCGCAACTACTCCGCGGCGTTCCGATTCGCTTGCGCGATAGCGCTTGCGGAAGGTCGCCGCCCGTGGCCGCGCCGCACGGGTTCAAAAGCGAGGTAATCGCGCCGGATAACGCAACGGAAACGCGCTCACAAGCGCCGAGATCGGCGACGCACCGAGAGAACGGCCGGACGAGCGACATCGTGAAAATTAATAGGGGGATTTTGCAACACCGTCTCTCTGAGATACGGTAAACGTTGATCGTCAATGTTACTCGCTCAGAAATAACGTTGCAATGTATGCGACCGCCGACTACTCGCATTCACGATTTACGTTCACCGTATCTGAGAGACGGTATTGCAAAAACTCCCCCCCCCCCAAAGTGTCGGCTCGGTGCCGGGAGGAGAATCGCCGGATAAAGTAGAGAACGAAACTGCTTTCGCCGACTTTTGAGGAATCTCGCGTTGGCTCTCGCGAATAAGATGAACACTGATTCGGTGTATCTTTGTACACATTGAGACGAGGACTTTCTACTTTTCCCTTTTTTATATAGGAGAATTTGCCGCGCGAGTTTCATAGAAATAAGCGACGGATCTTCCAGCAGTCTTCGACCTGACGACACGGACGACACGTTGCACACGTCGGGAATGAAACAACTGGTCTCTCACATGCTCGATGACGCTTCATGCGTAGTAATAATTGCGTGAGACCGACGAGACAACACGATACCACGCACTGCCCGCAATTACGATAATTGCAGCTGTGGTGGCGGCGGCGGCGGCGGCGGCGGCGGCGGCGGCGGGTGCGCGATTAAAGATCGGTTGCAACGGTATCGCTAAACTCTGCTTAGCGATTGTCTTTTTACGTCAAAACGCCGACCGTAAGTAGAGAAAGAGAGAAGGACAGGCGCGCGGTTGAGCGAAACATTCAAGTCGCGCGCGCGAAAACGAGCAACGCGGCCGCTCCGAGACGTCACGCGCTCCAGAATAGACACGGTAATGGCAACGTAATTCGCATCGTCCCGATCGTCCGCCCCCCGCACTCCCTCGGCTTTTGCAGATTATCGTAACGTGGAAACTTCTAATTATAGATCGAGTCGCACTCGTCTCGTCCGGGATACCCGGATGCAGCGCCTGCAGGCACGGAGGAAGTCCTATATACTCGGACGGTAAGCCGTAATTATTTATTTGCAGAATGACTCGGCCGATTATTGTATTACGTATGCGGAGAGAGGCCGAGGGAACCCATCGTCGAGCACATGACTTTCTCCCTCTCTCTCTCTCTCTCTCTCTCTCTCTCTTTCTCTTGTTCGGCATTTTTGTCGCCGTACCTTCAAGCGGCGGACTCCATCGCGAGTCACGCGACGCAGAGTCACGACCGGGCCGTCCCAATCGGAACGCGCGCGTGCGCGGGCATTAACACTGATTATAATACAATTAGCATAAAGTATAAAGATAACTATCGCTATTGGTCATTGAGGTTGAATGACTCCGCTTGACCTCGCCGCGGCCTTCCAACTCTCGCCGCGCCACCGTAACGCGCCGGCATTTCTGAAGTGTGTGTGGCCTGTCGGAATTCAATGTCCGAGTGAGACTGGCGAGGCGACTCCTACGGGCACGACTTTCGTTTTTCCCCAGCGAATCCGCCGAAATTCGTTCGAACGGAGGCGCCGTTGCTTGCTTGGGTTATGCGGACGACGAGACGCGGCGAGAAGTATCGCCGGCGAGATCTCGCCGTTTCCTGCACCGCTCGCGCGCAGTCCTTTCCGGGGCCGAAACTTTTCCTCGGTCACGCTAACGCCCTCGGCGACCTTCACCTCGAGGTGCGAACGAAAGGGAGGAAAAGCCGCGGGTAAACGGCGGCGGCGGCGGCGGCGGCGGCGGCGGCGACGGCGGCGGAGGCGGAGGTGCGAGCGGCGGCGGGCGCGAAAAGGCGGAGAGGGAGAGAGTCCGAGGCGGAGGTCAATCGCTCCTCGCTGCGAGATGTTGGCAGAGGGACGAACGGGGGAAACGAATCCCGTTAGATTGGACCATGCTCTCGTGAAACGACGATGCGACCGTGGTGACGAAAATAAAATGCACGCGGCCGCGCGGACACGAGACGAGTCGAGCCGAGCCGAGTCGATTATCTCCCGCGGCCGCGCCGCGGGGTCTCGTCTTCGCGCGAGAGCCGAGAGTCCGCATATTTCCTTTTTAGAGAACAACATTGTAAGCGGAGAGCTTCACACTTTCTAGAGACGCATAATGGAAAATCGCGCTCGCGCTCGCGCGTGCGCGTTCGTTAACGAGTTTCTAGATCCTATTCAGCTCTATTCGGAGGGAACGCGCTATTGTAACGAGGCCGCGCCGTTACGTTCGCGCGCGTTACTCAACGCGATTGTTCCTCGTAGAGAAACCAACGAATATGAACAAACGAACGAACGGACAAGTGAGAAGGAAGAAAAAAGACAGAAGAACGAAGATCTCTCAGTCGCGCCGAAGGGCCGCCTCGGAGCGACGTTTTACCGCGCGTCCCACTTCGCGAGTCGTCCGTCCGATTACGGATCGTTTCCACTCGCAAAGGCACGCGCGTTCATGACGACGCGCAGCTGCGCGCGTGTAGATCATACATAGCTGGATGACTTTCACCCACGCGGTACATTTGCGTTAAAGACACGCGCGGTCCGAGCGGTGAACGCGTAGCATACTTTGTAACGACGCGTGCCCGTCGCGCGGCTGCGAGGCCGGCGAGATTTCGCGAGGCGTCGCGAGGATCGTCGCGTCGCGATTCTCGTCCGCAAGAGAATCAAGACTTTCCCGGACGAACGTGCTCGCGCTCGCGCTCACGCGTGCAAGGCCGCCCACGCGACGCGTTTCTTTACGGTAAAGCTCATTATCGCGAGCGAGGCGTGAAACACACGGGTGGCGGGAGATCATGAGGCAAAGGTCGCCAGCCTTGCCGAGCTGAGGGAGGAGAGCCTCGCCGAGAGAGTGTCTCGTGACGCAACGCGCGCCGACAATGTACGACGCAAAGTTCGTGAATTCGAATACGGGGCAGCGCGGTGATCGATCGATCCTCGAAATGAGCCACTCACGTCGCAACGCGCGATGAAGACCGCGAGCTTCTCCTCATAACGAGGCACACTTTGGGTTCGCTCGAAAAGCGAAGAGAGATTCACGAAAGATCCGTTTCTCGTCTCGACGATATTATATTTTTTTCTTGATACACTTGAGACCCCGTTCTATTTGATACAAATAACTGTAACATGTTTGTCTGAGAAATTTTGTTTCGCGCGGTCTCCGATGGTTGCCGAAATAGCATGGGCAGGGATAAAATTTCAGAGGTGGTTTTATCATTTAAACTTGTCGTCTCTAAACTTAAGCGTCTCCGAGCTAAGCACAAAATGCGATTACCTGCATTACAAATTTCATCCAAATCGTACACGGATACTTCGCGGATTCTCGCTCTTCTCGTCAGACTCACGTCAGCTCACGTCGGTCAGTTTTGAAGCTTGAAGACTCGTTTCACGTGAGATACTTACAATTGGATATACCTGAGTTTAAGAAAAAAGTAGACGCGAGTTTTCCGCGTTGAATGCCGCAATTACAAGTGTAACGTCGCGTGTATTTACGACTCAAGTCGTTTAGCTCGCTCATTACATTATTTAACACAAGATCCGACTCCAAAGTCACATCTGAATTATATTTCACGTGAATCGAGCTCAAAGTCACGACTATTAATGCGGCTCGCAGTCGCGGCGCGTAACGAGGGCTCGTCCGCGTCCCGGTTTCGCGCGTCGCCGCGTCGACTTTGCGGGATATCTCGCGTGTATTGATACGACGGATTATACTCGAGAAAGGCCAGTCACGCGACGATCACGGGGCATGATGCACCACCGCGCCTCCTCACCGCTGATCATTACCGCCGTCGTCTCGTCCTTGTTGGATAACGAACAGTTTCCGAGCGATGTAAACCGAGGCGACGACGAGCGTCGGCGCTCGGCGGCAACGGCTCGTCCCAGTTTTCCGACAGTGGGACTTTTTTCGCGCTCCTTTTTTCCCTCTTGTAAATTCATCGCTCCGCCTATCCGCCACTATCAAGAGAAACGCAAACACGTGGCCTCTCTATTGCTTGCAGATGTGCACGGGCCCGTGGAGACGTTCGTCCTGCCGCCCGGCATGTACTTGAGGCCGGAGGACGCCGGGAACCTCTACACGACCCTGTCGGCCAACCCCAACGTGTTCTTCCAGAGAGCGGCCCACCCCGGGATGATGTACTGATCGAAGGCGAAGCATCTCGCGCGGACTCCTCGCCCGATATGCGACCCGGCCGAGCTTTTGTATCGCGCTCTAGATTAGATTACGGGGACGATAATGCGATATCGTTCTTCGCTGTAAATAATCGTCGTTAGATTCTAATATGTGCGCGTCTCGAGATACGTCGGCTATCTCGCGCGGCTCTATGAACTCTTTTCGTAAGCTCGATGAAGCTGGACGATCGTGCGAATGTAGTTCACGAAAGAAGATACATACGCGCCGCGATTCGCGCGTTGCCGCAGAGTGACGCGATCGATCAGTGAGAATCGTCGAGAATCGTCGGCGAGCCCTGTGAGATAACAAGTGTGTGCCTTCGAAATAACGAAATAAACGTATGATACATTTGTTTTACACAAGGTCCGCCAGTCTCCCACACTCGATTCTTTCTGCGACTGTGCGTTTGTACAAGGCTCAAACTTGTTGATATTCTTCGTCGATTTTAATTACTCGAAGGACAATACTAAATAGATACATTACTTTAGGAAATACCTGCGTAAGTACTCCAAGCGTGAAGAAAATATGTGCCAATCTCAAGAGTTCCTTTTCATTTTTCCTTAATTAGACCTGCTGTGTGTGTGTGTGTGTGTGTGTGCTGAATCCCTTGTCGCTTCAATAGTCTAAACAGAGATGCTCAGTTTTCCGTTAAATACCGCCAAGGCTAAGGGTGACCTTCGTCAAAGTTTGATCAGGCCAATCGATGACCAACCCAACCGATAACCTGGAAAATAAAAGACAGTTTGTTGTTGAAACGAGCAAGAAACTTGTTTTCTTTCTTCATGGTCTATATTTAAAGTCACTGTTAGTTAAATATTACCTGCTGTATCTCGTTTTGACGTACAAAAAGTTAATGGGCATCGCGATCGTCCAACGATGAATACTGTTGGCCTCGATTATTCAACGATTAGTTCAATCGGAAGTTTGCCAAAGGTCATCTTAAACACGCTTCTTTCTGGGATAGCTCGCTTTCACTTCCGCTAGGCGCGGAGGTTACTCGGCTCGCGTACCACGACAAGGCGCCATCCCGTGGGCGGGAGCTGACTATCCATCTTGAGCGTATTATCTGTTTGTGGCTAAAGGATCAAAAATTCTCTCCTGATCTCCTGAAGGAGATCATGCCACTGGTCGTAGACATCGATCGCGTTCGATCGCGCGGCTAACTTCAGATGCAACGATGTGGTTGCATAATGACAGGCGTACGACGTCACGTGATGTGTGTGACGTCACAGGTGGCGATACTGGTGGTGGTGGTGGTGGTGGTGGTGGTAATAGTGGCGGACGTGAGCGCGATTGTATCCCCGCACCTGTCAAAGGCAGTCAACAACATGGCATAGTGGTGAAACCGTACTGTCGCGTACACCGATCGGCCGTACTTATGTTGTTCGCGCCGATGAATGCCACAGGTCTTGTCGTTGGAACGTCCGGTCGAGGTTCGCTCGAGGTCGAGACAGCCGGGTGAAAGTGCGCGCGTGCTCGCATGTGTGCGCCACGCGTCCGTTTCTAACCTGGCCAGAACGATGAGTCGCCGTCATTCAGTGCTGCTGTGCGGGCCCGCGCCCGCCGTGATGTGATGTATTTTCTTGCCTTTCACATTGTAAACAAATTAACACAAGTTCATCAGTGAAAACCCACGTCGAAATGGCGAGTCCGGTGAAACAGCTCAGGTAAGCTCGAGTCGTTAGCTAGCAGCGATTTGTTTCTTCGTCTCTCTTCAGATATCGTGTGTTGTTATGTTGCCCAAGGGGCAACGACGGTGTTTTAGCCTGACCGCGACGCTCTACGTCTCTTTTTCTGCGCGCAGATTTTACTTCGTCACGTGGAACGTAGCCACAAAGTTCCCGAGTCTCCAGCAGGATCTTCATCAGCTTCTAGGCATCACACCTTACGCAGAGCCCGAGCAATGGCCAGATTTGTATTTCATAGGGTATGTCTCTTATATAACTTCTCTACACACCCACGATTTTTGGTTTTAATAATATATACACATACCTCTGCATATGTTTCTTCAGGTTACAAGAAGTCAAGTCTCAGCCACAGAATATGGTGTTGGACTACATACTATTTGAAGATCCCTGGACTAAAGCGTTTAGGTAAACCACTTAAAGTGACATCAGTCATGAATGTAATCATGACTTTATATACAAATTCGCCAAAGATATTACAGAGATATTAATTAATGACATCATTTCCAGAGACGTATTGAAAAGATATGATTATGTTAAGATACGTTCTCAGCGGTTACAGGGTCTTGTCTTAAACGCGTTCTGTCTCAGGAAACATATGACGCATTTAAGGTCTGTGGAAGCTCAATACACTAGGACAGGCTTCGGCGGCATGTGGGTAAGAGACAGCCACAAAAACATAGCGACAAATGTTACACTGACAATTGCACTGATGGCATTATCTCTATGCATACAGGGAAACAAGGGCGCTGTGAGCATAAGAATGACAGCTTATGGTGTGAGCATTTGCATAGTGAATACACACTTGACTCCCCATGACCACTTATTAGCTGATAGGATCTCGGATTACAATACTATCGTGACTGATCATACTTTTACCGTTTCATGTACAACGAAGATATTATACCATGAGTACGAACTTTTTTCACGTGAAAGTGAATATTGTACACATTATTCATACAAAATTCATTAACAATGTCTCCCGACGCGCTGATAATATACCCTTTCTCCACGTCAGTTATATATTTTGGATCGGTGACTTAAACTTTCGGCTCAACGGAGAAGACTTAACCGCCGTCGATATAGACTCGATGGTAAAGAAGAAGCAGCTCGAAAAACTCCTTGAGAGAGATCAGCTGAGGATGGTAATGAGAGACGGTCAAGCTTTCGCCGAGCTGAATGAGAACGCTATCACATTCCCGCCTACTTACAAGTACGAATTCGAGTCTCAGGCATTTGATCTCAAGTAAGTTGAGCGGAAAATCTCGCGTCCCGTTTCATATAACCCACAGCTCATAAGTGCGCTCTACATTCTCAATTTTCCGTCACGCGTAGACGTAGACCATCCTGGACCGATAGGATTTTATATAAGGTCAACGCGGTAGACATCTACGATGATATACAACTTCACACAATGCAGCATACTTACAAGAGCCACTCTAGCTACAGCGTTTCGGATCACAAGCCGGTAACTGGAGAGTTTGACATCGTGGTAAGTACTCTCGCGATGCACACGACTACCCCGCAATTTTTCACACACACACACACACGCGCGCGCGCGCGCGAATGACGACACCTTCTTCTTCAGGTGAGGCCTATCGTGACAGACGATATCGTGGAATTTCAAGATTGCACTATGGCGGATCATTTTATATCTTACAAACTGCAGCGAGATTTCACGCCGGGCAACGCGGACTGGATAGGTCTCTTCTCCTACGAGTTCTCCAGCTTGGACGATTACATCGTCTACGAGTATATCAGTCGCGGTGAGTTTACGACTTCGTTACACTCTTCTGATTTCATTTTCCAATGTCATGGCTGTTAATCGGTTGTTTTGATAATACGTCTTTTTAATAACATGCTAGGTAAGTTGACCTCGCCGCCCGGTGACTCACTCGCGAGCACCGAACGCATATTCTTCAGCGACACAGCGCTTCGCCTGACGGAGACGTACTGCTTGGTCTATGTAGCTCAACGGGGTGACATAATGGAGATTTTGGGCGTGAGTCCCGCGTTTTCAGGTCCTCGTAGACCGATCGAGGCAGCTGACTCGTCCACGTAAATCTTTCATGACCGACGGATCGATTCACTTGGAAGCTTACGTGTAAGAACGTCAATCCTCTCGCCGCTCATGGCAATACCTCGCTTAAATCACCCAACGTTTGGACAAGAAAATGTTTTCATTTCTGTTCAATTGTTCATCATCATCTTACTGATTACCACAACTTTTCGTGAAGAATTGTGATAAAGTTCTAGAGGTGGGATCGGGTTCGCCTTCGTAGGCTCCTTCGAGCTGTAGGGATATTTAAGCAAGTCGGAGAATATGGCCTTTAAAACATAAAGGGTGCTTTCGACACGGTGTGTAGTTTGTGAAATCGAAGCATCGAGATACAATGCTTCTCTGCGTACACTTGGACTCGATATTTGCCTTCGACGCTTCATTCTCGATGTATTTTGGCTCGCAATGAGAGACCTAAATTCTTGGGAGTTGATCAAAAACGAGTTGGTCCTCGCGTTGAACCAACGGTAACGTCCACAAACTGTATCGAGAGAAACGTCCAAACCGTACCGAAGCCAAGTGCACCGTTTAAACTATTACTTTTGGTACCTGGTTTTGCGCGCTCGGGTTTGCCGCCAATCAGAGCGCGTCCCGCGCGTATTAATTGTACGCTTTAGGGAGAGAGCTTGCAGTGAGTGCACGCGCCAAGTTTTCACGCACGCGAAATCTTCCTCGATCCATTAACGCCCACGCTTTGTGCGCGAGACAAAAGCAGTTGTATTGTTAACTTTCCTTCCCCTCCTATTTCCCTCCTACACCGCCTCCGAGCGTTAATGGGTCAATATCACGATGTTATGAGTGCGCTCACCTCGCAGCGTTGTATATCCTCTTAGCGAGATCATCATCATGTAGCAATTTGGGTTGTGGCAAGGCGACACTTGCACGTGCCGCCCACCGTACAAGAGTCTGTACTATTTTATTTTTATAGACACCGACCGACCGGGTGGAACAAAGCGAAACGAACAAACGTATACTGTGGTTTCAATGGGTATATGCAAATAAAGGATATTAGTATTTTTTATTCGTCTCTCGTCTCGTCACCTCAACGCATCCCGCTTGCGCATTCATAATAAACTGATTTATTCAATAAATTAATATCTAGCAACAAAATACGGCAATAAATAAGCAAATTGCACATAACGATGACGACGACGACGATGTGTAAAACAGCGACGCGTAAACACGAATGACGTGTTATCGACACGAAGACATCGATTTTTGGCGAGAATCTTAACGTTGCGCGATATCTCCTCGTGACACTGCAACATTGTAACAATGCATAAATATTACCAGCTGCCCCATGCGCCCGATCAACGCGGATTCGCGCAGCCGAGTCGCAGCTCGGACCGACAACAAACGTGCGTATAATATTGCGTATTTAATACCGGGAACCACTCCAGCAAGGTCGTTCCCTCCATTATCGTTTCTCACGATTCCGCAATTAGTGCAAACACAGTACGCGTACTGTATCGCGCAGAAGACAAATCACGTATTACATAATGCGCGTTGCCGACGAGGATATTCTATTTTCATCGAGCGCCGCGGTTTCAGCGCGAAATGCACGCTCTCATGCGAAAATTATCTCACTGGGCGAACACGGACGTACCTCGCATTCGGAGAAACTCGAACGTGTCGCAGCTCATCCATTCTCCGCTTCTCCGTTCCCGGATATGTCGTACATTAAGAGAGAAAAAACAAAGAGAAACGACTAGAACTCTATACGACTCTCGAGCGTTAGGCGCGCGATCCGACTCAAGTGTATAAATAAAAATCACCATGTGCCTCCGGCCGCACGTGCGCGCGCGCGCGCGCGCGCGCGAGAGAGAGAGAGAGAGAGAGAGAGCGCCGCGCGCCGGATTTCACGGGCTAATTCCGCAGCTAACTAAAAAACTCAGGTGGGTGTTCGAGTGGCGATATCCATCGGCGGGAATCGCGTCGAAGCGCGGGCGGTATATCCGCTCGGAAAACGTCACTCGTCTTCGAAAGGCGTTTCAAGCTGGCGTCGTGATACGACGAGTTCAAATAAACTCTCGTCTCATGGTGTGAACGCGCCTTCGTTTTGCATCATCTCACACAGGGAGTCCGATTGTCGGCTTGAATAGAGATCTGTTCGAGCCTACGGCCGAGTTCACGACCTCCGGCCAAACCCGACGTATGTCGTCGTCGGAAACGCGTGGTGCCTCCTCCTTCACAAGTAGGCTCGACTCCTTCATCTTCTCATCTACGTTGTCATTGATCAATGATGATAGTCTCTCCTGGCAGTCCGGAATTGCCGTTCACAGGCATCACAGGTAATAGCGCCAACTCCATGCTGCCGACTTCCGGCTCGTTCGTGTGAATTCCACGCATCTTCTGAATCCGGTGCCAGACAAAGTCCCTGATGGGCCTTCTCAGGACGAACAGTCCGAATATGAGCACGCCCTGGAGCACGTTCACCAGGTCGAACGCCGACCAGTCTAGCTGATCGGCGCCGACCCACCAAGAGATCAGCTCCATCGTCCAGTTGAGGCCCATCAAGAAGAACAGCACCAGGCAGACGAGGAAGGTCCTCTTGAGCCTGCGGAAGAGTCTCTGCTCCACCCGATCGGAGCTCTCGTTCCTCGCCAGGCGCCGAAGCGCGAACTCCTGCTGGTATCTAGTAATGTTTATAGCAGTGATCACGAAGAGGATCATGTTGGCGAATAAGAGCAGGCCGACTGGCACATAGAAGTACGGCATCGCTTCTTCATCAGCTGTGGAAGAAGTAAGAAGAATTAGCAGCGATGTTCTCGCGTCTTCGGGCGTTCAAATGAGACAGGAAGCTCGATGATGTGACGTCTGTGACGTTGGGAATAATCCTGGGCCAGGGTTCTTCATGAACGGCGATCGCGAATGTTTATCTGTGATTTCACGGTGTTGATGTATTTGTAAGCTACGAATGGTGATCACAGGACGGTTAGGCCGGATGTTTACGTGCTCTAAATGGCGATGGAAGACAAGCGAGATGAACGAGTGTCACACCGTGTAAATGCGGTGACGCGGGCAAATCGGGACTCACATTTGAACCAACAGCTGTCACTGCCGAATGCGGGTTTCACGTAGGTCGTGGGTATCGTGGGGTTGAGATCCATTGCCATCGAGATGAGAATGAGGATCGCCGGCGGGCCCCAGGCCCATATAGAGTAGTAGAAGAACAGCATCTTGGACGGTGTACGCCTGTACGAGCGTTGATTCACGTGGTAGCGCACCATCTGCCACGTCTCGATGCATATCACGTTCAGCCAAAAGAAGCAGGCCACGAATGAGAACTGGATGACGAATGCTGAAAACGACCCCGGCCGGTTTTCAGATCAATTCGTCGACTCACAGAGAGCGAATCGCCGCGTCGACGCGTTAGAGATTTCACGCTCCGTCAAAAGTATGATTCGCCGCAAATTGTAGTGCACCAACAATAGCAGAAAGATCAAGACGTTCTTAGCTCGACAAACTTCAGAGATCTAATACGCTACGAGAACATTTCTCCTCTGGCTGAATTGTCGAGAAACAAATTCAACACTCGACGTTGCGTTACGAAGGTGATTAAAAAAAAGATGTCGCATCCTTTCTATCTTTCGTTTTCTGACGATTCTTAGATACTCTGGTAGCGATCCTGCGGATTAGCATAAATGAGTCGGGAGAATTGATCTTTGAACGATCCTCGGCAGTGGTATATGCTAATAACTAGGTGAAGCTTCCTTAATTAGTCAGCGTGATAGTTGAATTATCCTTATCAATCTCTTATATATCTCCTTATCAATCTCGACTTTTTTTTTCCTGATGGATATCTGCGGGGAAACCCAATCGATTTTCTATAGGACGGTGCGTCAAGATGCGTGCTACATTCCGATCCTGCGGATTTGCATAAATGAGTCGGGAGAATTAATTTTTGAACGATTCTCGGCAGCGATGTATAATAATAACTAGATGAAGTTTCCTCAGTTAGTCGCGTAGGAGTTGAAATTCCTTATCTGTCGAGACTTCTTTTTTCCTGATGAACGTTTGCGGGGGAACCCAATCGATTTTTTATTTAACAGCGGTATATAATAATAACTAGGTGAAGTTTTATCACAGTTAGTCGCGCAATAGTTGAAATTTTCTTCCTGATGGACATTTGCGGGGAAACCCAATCGATTTTTTATGCGACGGTGCGTCAAGATGCGTGCTCTATCCCGGAAATAGATTCGCGGAATCGTGCGTAAATCGTGCGGAATCTCGCTGAAAATGAATTGTCTTACCTATACTGATGCAGATTTCAGGCGGCATTTGCGCACTCGCGAGTTGCGTAATGGCCAAAGTGGTGAAGGCTAGCGCCAGGCAGCCGCAATAGTGGCAAAGGGCCTTCCCGTGGACATCTCGTAGTCTCGGCGTTATGACGTACGCCACGATGGTGAGGATGAGAAAAGGAACCGAGATCAAGAGGCCGCAGGCGTAAATAATGATCTGCGTGTCCGTGGTCGAGCTGGTACTGCCTGAAATCGTTGCGTTTTTCGTAGGGTCGACGTGTAAGGTCAAACGCGCCGACGTTTATATTCGTCACCACGACGTGTTAATTCCTACGGTCAACCGGCTTAAAAAATAATCAATGATAATGACAATCACTTTCCGAAATAATCGATCACGCGAATAAACGAATGTCACCTTGGGGAATTTGAGATTTCACATGAGAGATTTGTGAGAGATCGCAAAGAGACTTTCAGAAAACGTCTCAGAACCATTTACAACATGTTTCATCTTTTTCCGCGTTTTTAGGTATCTTTTAGACGTTTTTCTGGATGCCTTGTTAGATGCCTTGGATACCTTTTTTAGGCGTCTTTCAGACATTTCTGCTACCTGAGGAGGAATTAACAATGGGACGAGGAAAAAATCTTTTTACGAGCTTTCTTTCTTTCCTTTCATAAATCTCTCAGTTTGTGCAATTCACCCGACACAATACGCACCTTCGGCAAAACAAACGAGCGGACTGAGACCCCGGTTGACTAGTTCGCCCAGTTCGTCCACTTCAAAGACGATTTCCATGCAATAATTCTCACCGGGTGAGAGCATAGTCGGTATATGCTGCGGCGCGAAGATGGAACCGTTCAACAACAAGTGATACTCATCGTAATCGTCCGCTTTTGGATCTAATAAGTACCTGAAAATATATTTTTCAAATGTATGCGACGCAAACACGCGAAACTCGCGTCGTATCAACTCGCGAACAGACAGTGTATTGAATATTGAGTGGGCGGCAAAGTTTACAGAAAAACACTAGGATAAGCGCGAGGATAACCTTCCGAGAAACGCACCTCCGTAATCAACTGTCCAGAAGAAACGAGTTATGCTGGTGCACGAGGAAGCTATTCGCGTCCAAGGATATCCGATTATCACGGAAATCACAATAATGCTTCACGGTGGTTGCGAGTATTTTTCTCGATAAATCATACGTCGTAGAATGTCAGTCGACTAATATATTCAATTATTGTTCCCATCCACGTGTTTTATACACAACACGCAACAAGCTTTTGCACACTTTTCATCGTTTGTAGAAGAGAAAAGGAAACGCGGAGGAGAGAAGAAATTTGCATTATCTTTAAACATATTAATAATAAAGGACAGCTATAATGGTTTATATTCGATATTCAAAAGAAATTAATTTTATATAACCTACACTAGGAAAAAAATTCAGTATCTCTAAAAAAACTGTTTAGTTGAGCATTTTTTAATAGCAACCAAATATCTTGTTTTATATAACAAAATATATTTAGTTGTCTCAACTAAACTCTGTTCTCCGAACCAAATGATTTTGTTCTTAGACTTCATATATAAAAATTAAGCATTTTAGTAATTTCATCCATAAAAATTACATAATAACGAAATATTATTTTACATAAACTAAAATAATGGATACTACTTTGTCTTTCTGTGTGCTAAAATTTAGATTTTATATATTAAGAAAAAATTATAGTATTTTTAACAAAATTCATTTAGTTAAAGCTTTTTGGTTGCTACAACAAAAGTATTACGTTATACGAACAAACCGTACAAACAAACAAGATATTTGTTTGCAGGAACTAAACAGTTTTGTTGGGCATATTTCAACCAAATTAATTTGTTGTTACAACAAAATTTTGGTTCACGCAACAATACATTTTTCCTAGTGTACTCTTTTTTCATGTATAAATATATTTCAGCTGATGAAGTGCGCAAATACTTTCGCACACATTGCAGAAAAGTCCACAATGAGTCCTCGAATATGTCACCATCGAGCCGAGTGTTACGAGACAAAGTTGAGATACGACGAAAAGTTTTCATGGCGGCGTTCAAAAGTTACTGCGATTTCCAGAGAGTCTATCCGAAGTCGTAATGTGCGCGGATCGTAATTCGTGCACGATAACATGCGAGACATACTTTATTCCGCAAGAAATGTTTTTTCTCTCTCGATACACATTCCTTATCAATAAATCGCGGATAAAAGCGCGACGATGCCGCATTGTCTTCCGTGAGCGTCCAAGTTCGTCGAGATTAAGAAACATGTCACTTTACGATTTCATCTCCGCCAATTATCATGCAACATGATACAATTTTTCTTCTCTTCCGGTAACAGAAAGAAAAGACATTATTTCGACGATACGTTATCTGCCGCGTGTGCGCGCGTAACTGTGACAGTGATCGAACGTATTGGAATCGTGTAAAGCGAGAGCCCGTAAATTACTCCCAATAAGCGCATAATTGACGCATCGACTTGTCACGCAGCTCGTAAATATCTGAAGAATGCAGTGCCGAGAGTTATACTTATCGGCATCGCGACGCGCGACGATGTCTCAATTACACTCACTTCAAACTGAGAAATTCCGTAAATGTTATATAAAATATTTCCTCCATCTCTCGGCATCGCGTCGCGCGGTTATCTACGGGCTACTCGACGATATCGACGCAATGACATGCGTTATCGTCTACAATCGCCGCAATACGGTGCGAAAATGGACGTTTCGTGTAATTATTCTTTTTTTCTTCGCTGTGTTGCACGTTCTAAAATTAACGGAGAGGCGATCGACGCGATCAACGTCCGTTCTTATTACGACACAATGAAAATGGAGTCTTATCGTGGGATACGAGCAGGTAACGTTCCGATCCATTGATAAGGATTTTATCTATAGTCTACGGATTTTATTATGTAACGGACGAGTTTGTTGAGAAAAATCGTCCGTCCGCGACGCGACTCGGAAAATATGTTCGTTACGAATTCCTTCCCGCTTTTTTAGTCAAAACATACTTTTTATATTGGCATGGAATTCCCACGATGGCGACAAATTGATCGTATTTCTTTCCAGGTAACAGCATGCCTGTTTGGTTGAATTTGCTGAAATAAGGCGAGAAATGCTCCGTCGACGAGTCATTTGAAGGCACGCACAAGGATTTCCCGGCCGCGTCTTTCACGAGGATTTCGTCCAGGAAGCAGCATTTCCCCACTAAAGGCAGCCCTTCGTAATTGTTCGGCACGAGGGTCTCATTTTGCTAAAAAAAAAGAACAAAAAATCGAAAATCAGATGATATCGTCGCGATTGTTGCGTTGCAACACAACAGCCGGCCGCAGACGGTATAAAATCCCGAAATTGGAAAAACACATTTCGCACGGTATGTCATGAATACAAACGAGGCGGGTAGCGATGCAAATGCGAAATAAATTACGCGCGAAGGAGCAATTTACTCGAACTGGTTTGAGATATTCGGCGGCTGAGATACACGGAGATGGAAGACTCGCGCGCGTTCGCTCGCTCTTCCACTCGCAAGCCTGGAACTTCCGCGAAAATGACGTTCGTATATGCATAAACGAGCGGAGATCGTCGTGTCAACAACACATTGTTGTATCATCGACATTGTGTGATTCACAAATTGATAAATCGAGCCTCTCGAGTAGTATCGCGGTAGTGCCTCAAGTGCGGAATTGAATGCGACTAGTGAGATGAGACTTTGAACATTCCGGCTTCGGTTTTCGTCCGGCGCATTTTCGTTCTGCGATCGCGACTGCGATGTTCCGCGTAAAACAACTCACGATTCGTGTAATCTGGACAACATCAAGAAAACAGCGATCGATACAAGCGCGATTGGCGCTGCGCTCCAAATATAACTCGAGGAGAGAGAGAGAGAGAGAGAGAGAGAGAGAGAGAGAGAGGCAGAGGGAGACGAAGAAAGAGATGCGCGTACACGAGAAGCGGATAAATAAATAAATTCGGGATGATTTCAGTCTAGCGACATAAATATTCGAAAGAGCGAATATACTCACCAGCAACGGAACTGTGTGTATGATGGGCGCTACGTCACTTGCGTGCGCAATCGGCGCCGACAAGTGCGCCAGGAGGACGCAGATGCCAGCGAGACGCATCCTGGACAATAGCCACGGCCTGTCGGAGCTTATCGAGTCGTCGGGCGAGATCATTTTGTCGCGGTCTCACGACGGGGAAGCTCGACGCGCTCGTCGTTAATTGACTCTGTGTCTCTCTCTCTCTCTCTCTCTCTCTCTCTCTCTCTCTCTCTCTCTCTCTCTCTCTCTCTCTCTCTCTCTCTCTCTCTCTCTCTCTCTCTCTCTCGAATTAACATGCACCGAGCGCGTCGCCGGGCGTCGTCGAACTTTGGATTCTGCGGATATTTATCGGACCCGGAGCGGCTCACGGCGACAGGATCACCACGATTTGATCTCGCTCTCACTCTCCGCGCGATAACGAGGGCACGAGGGATTTGCTTCTCCACGCCGGGCTAAAATGTTCGTCGCGCGCGATGACGGAGGCGGATTCAGCGCTCGCGTTTCGTCACTCGATATCGCGTCAGGATCCTGCACATTTATCTTGTCACACCTTGCTTGCACTGCGCCGATAAGTCGACGCTTCCGCGTAACGTGGTCGTCATTATTTGCCCGATCGATGGCGATTTATCAATTAAAGGCTCTCTCTCGGCTTCGTCCACAGCGCCCGCTTGCCGGCCGGTTTCGCCAAATTATCCTTTCGGCCGCGATCCCTCGCGAAATCCTCCCGACTCACACGCACGCACGCACGCACGCACACTTGTCGCTGTTTATCGCGTTGTCACCGGTACCGTTTTAACGATTTCTCCCGCCTTGAATGCACCGATCATCAATCTCACTCCACGCGGCGCGTTAGGTCATTCGGGAATCCCGGGCTGGGACTGGCCGCCGCGCCGGCGACAACGGCCCGAAACACCTACAGCGAGGAGGAGAATGACAGTCACGAATAAAATTGGGGGAGTTCCTCCGTGGAGCGTCTTGGTGAGACAACGTCGCGAGGAGATACTTTCTCCTGCTGTATTCTTCCCAACGCGCTACTTTTATCGCGTTCTTCTTCGCGCGAGATGTCGATTTTTAACGACGACCTTGAGCCAGCTTCTCTTATTTGCATAAATATTTCGGACCCGTGGCGGACGGAGTGGCGACACGGTTTCACGTCGACGAAGACGCCACTTTCGAAAATCTGAATCGAAACTATCTCTAAATGCTACACCGCGGTGATACTTGATATATTAGACCCAGCTGATATTTCATCGGGGTGACGAGATCGATGCACGTCCGTGGTGACGAACGCAGTTCAGCGAACTCGAAGTTGCCGCTGCTTCGTCGCTGAAGAGGCGCTTTCATCAAGGAAGATGAGCAGCGAGAGCCTTGTCGTTTTACCGTTGTCGATTATCAAGGCGCGTCCCGTCGTTATTGCTTCTCCTCCGCGCGGGCGGACTTCTCGACGATGACGTCTTCGCGCTCGAGCATGCCAAGCGCGAGCCGAGCGAAAGAAGCTCTCTTCGCGAGAGAAGCTCTCTTTGCGAATGCCAAATCTCCTCCTCGCGACCGCTCTCGACGATGGCCCCCGCGCTTTCGATTGCACTGGCGCGTAATTAACCGGCAGCCCCGATTTTCGAGAGAGTCGTCGACGGTACCCGTACGGCGAGAATGTCGCGGGTTCTTCTTCACTGTGAGAGCGCACACCGACTTTCCCTCGTGACGAAAATCGTCCCAGCTCTAATCGCGCTTCCTCCTTCGGCGAGTGATTATCTGGCCGGCCGGCGAATCGCGTTGATATACGCAGACGCGATCGAGCGAACAACGTGCAGAGCGGCGAGCCGGCGAGCGAAGCGACAGGTGGATCCCACGTGCACCTCTGATCAACGTCCGAGAGCCCACTGGCCGGACTTCTCGATCCACTCGCGCCTTTATCGAATGCGAGAGAGCGATCTCTCGCGCGCGCCACGCGCCGCGCTGAGAACTCCGGCGAGAACGTGCCCACGCGAGCTACGCTCGCGTACACGTGTACGTGATATACCCGAGGTATTTCGCACCGTCGCGCTGCGGTGTTATCGATCGTCGAAGACAGGTATTTACTCCATCAACCGATCCGCCATCAAATAATCGCGGACTCGAGCAGCCACCCTGACGAGGGTCTCCTCTCGCGAGTCTTGTATGAGTGGCCAACCGTGTTCCCGAGAGAGAGAGAGAGAGAGAGAGAGAGAGAGAGAGAGAGAGAGAGAGAGAGAGAGAGAGAGAGAGAGAGAGAGAGAGATTGACGACAGACGTTGGCGCTCCATCGACGATCAATTATTGGCTACGTGTGTGTGCATTGTTGAGCGCAAATTTGTTGCACGTGAAACATAAACGTTTATCAATGTTTGCGCGAATTGTCACGCGTGACTCGCGCGCGTCACATTTACTGCATCTTTCATCCTTTCATTCTTTCATTCTCTCTCTCTCTCTCTGTCTCTCTCTCTCTCTCTCTCTCTCTCTCTCTCTCTTTCTCTCTCTCTTTCTCTCTGTCGCTCTTTACAGCACAACGATCCTCTCGAAGAGACGGAGGAAGCGCGCACAGCGATTAGCCGATTACTATTTTCGCACATCTGTCGACGCTTTTTCGGCCGCTGATTCAACGCGAATCGATACCAATCCGCCGAAAAAGCCGAGCTTATCGCCCCGTGAGAGGAAGCGCGCGCGTATCTGGCTTTTTCGAGATAACATGATGACACTCTCAATATTATAGCTATTACATTACACACCATCGTCGAGATTAAGAACGCTGAGTGCGCGCGCGCAAGCGGAATTTCAGCGATTTTCTCGTTAACGTCTCGCGATTCTCCCGATTCTGCTATCTTGACGTTGCAAGCCGGCCGCGGCGGCCGATGACGGGAAGAAGCGCACCTACCGCGAATTATCAGGTGGCGATTTATCGCTGTCGAAATTCCCCTGCGGTGCCGCCGGCCGCGAAACGCGCAACTCCGCTAATATGCCCGCCACGTCATCCGGCTGGCCGAATCATTCTTCCGGCAAGGTTCATTGGCGAATTCTACGAAGCAATCGGCCGATCGGCGTTCCTCCGCATCTAGGAGCCTCGCTCGGCCCGGCGGTCTTCTTCTGCCCGACGCGTGCACACCTTCGTGCTCTTACGTACAACGCGCAGCAGGGGGTGCAGCGGCGGCCGGAGTGTAAACGAAGGCCAAGCCGCGCGCCGAGGGGATGTAACGAGGTGTTACGGTAAACACAGAATGGAGAACGACGTCGCTATTTCGGTCGATAACGCGATGCAAACGTCAGTAACTCGCACGGGGCTATCCAGACACGCGAGCCTCGGGCTCTCCTTCCTCCCGCGAGCCTCCCTCGAGAGGCTTGCCGCGACGGCTTGTCGCTCGAGGGACGCCGCGCGGAGTTCGCGGGGAAGACGGGGAGAATCCCCGAAACGTTACAGTGGATAATCGAGCGTTAATCCGAAACGTCAACGCGGATTGGAGAGGTTGAGCTCGACGATGCGCGAGCGTGGGAGGACACGCGTCCTCTTCAACTCCCGCCGCGAACTCCGAACTCCTCGTCGCGAGATTCCGAACGTCGGAACGCGCCCTGTTTACAAGTTCCAAATTCAAACGGGTCGATTCATCGGTCGGAAGCGAGCGAGCGCGGCTCTTCCTCGCGCGTGGGTCTTCGAGTTTACTTTTGCCAGCCTACCAGTCAGCGTGCCAAAGTTCGAGTATAGAATGCACGTCGTCAGCGGACTTTGTGTGCAGTCTCATCGTGAACAATTATATCGAGACTCTCGGCGCCCTTGCTGGCGGAATTGATAGTCGCAAGTCGAATTAATAGTCGTCCGTTTCGCGACCCCGACGAGCCCCGCGCTCGAAACGGATCGCCATTACGGCGGATGATGAAGTTACGGACGGACCAGGCGCCCAGCCGTAAATATAGCGCTTGACGTAACGTAGTGCAAAGTAAACGTGCCACTTGTTCCCGCGTTTGTGCGGGAGAGAATCCGAGAAGACGGCGGAAAGGAGTGAAAATCCGATGACGCGCGGCGCGGCGCGTCGCGTCGCGTGCGTGTGGGCGTGCGACCAGGAAATCAGGCTAATGACGTGCTGCAGGACTTCCTACGTCAAAGGAAGCTCCGAATCGATGATTCTCCACGCACGAGAATCCTATCTCTATCGCTCTCTCAGGCTCTACGGCCGAACAAAGATTGAAATCAGCGCAACAAACGCAAACGGCGAGAGGAAGTGCGAAAGCGTGTTACAATGTTACAATGCGTTAAGATTCAGGATATTTACGCAGATAACGAAGCGTCTGGTACCCACATGGAGACCTCGATGCCGGTTTGATAATCCGCTCGCGTTCGCGCTTGCTTCGTGAACTCTACCGCTCTCTGTTACAGACTGCCGGAGACTTCGAAAGTCCAAGCGGTCGGTAACGCAGAAGATTTATGTAGGTGATAGCTCGTAGTACGTGGCACATTTGTAGCGATGACTCCGTTGAAAATTTCACGGAGCAAAGTTCAATCGGGAACAATAGCCGGACCGCCGCTTATCGCTCCGAGGGCGAAACGACGAAGGATGGCCTGTTTTAAGGAACGCTCGAAGTTTCGCGTGATATAAAACGCTCGAGTGCCTGGCCGAAAGGTGCTCGTTGAATATCAATCTCCTGGAGTATTAAACTTTCAATGGAAGACTCGGTAAACGTGCCGGACGCGTAAAACAGTCCCGAAATTATGCATTTCGCGCAGAGGCGTAGGCGCGCCCGAGCGAGCGAGAGCGCACAGTCCCGCCTAAGTTTTTATTAGAAAGTTTGTAGCAACGGAGCCTTTCTCTCTCTCTCTCTCTCTCTCTCTCTCTCTCTCTCTCTCTCTCTCTTTTTCTCTCCCTTGTTCGCTGCAATCTGGCGAAACTTTGAACGTAAAACCCCATCGCCGACCTTTTCTGCATTCGTAGCATGCATGAATTATTAAAGGCGAGCGGGCAAGTCCTCCTTCACGCATTTTCGCGAAGCATTTCGCGTGTCGCACTTTGTATCAACGTCCTCCGTTTCTCCCGCTCGTGTCGCCGCGTTTCATTCGATTCTTACTGGAACTGCGAGTCGCGAGCGATAAAATAAATGTTCTCTGATTATTCCACTCGAATTCCACGACGGAACCGATTTTTATGTGATACTTTTTGTGATCGCGGAATTAAAACGATATGCGTATTCCCGCGGAATATTCAACAGTATCTTTCTCGTCGTGCTAAAAAAAAAAAAAGGAAAAAAGAACTGATCTCCCGAAGTAAAAGCGAATAGAATAATGAGTATGCGCCTGGGGCGATTTCAAGCCGTTGTTTCTCCTCGACGGAAATCCGACGCGGTTTCTTATCCCGTGACTTTTTCAATTTCGAATATTTAATGATGCAACGCGTCGTGATCATGCGGGCAATATCATCGCAAGGTTTCGAGAACCGGATTCAAGGTAGAGCGAGTTCCTTTTCTCTGTCTCTCTCTCTCTCTCTCTCTCTCTCTCTCTCTCTCTCTCTCTCTCTCTCTCTCTCTCTCTCTCTGTCTCTCTCTCTCTCCCTCTCTCTTTTTCTCTCTCACCGTAGGCCGTAGGGCCGAAGCGCCAAGGGTCCTGCGACGTCACGCGCAAAATTGTCACGGGCCTCGCGTGCGGCCGCGGTCAGCGACGTCGGTCTTCAGCGTACGCACGTACACACGCAGTCGTCGTGTCGAACACGTTGATATGGACCACGCGACCTTGGCGCACGTACTTCGGCTATGCTTCGCTTTTGATGCGCGAACAAACGCGACGGTGTTCTCGTCGCTCTCGGCTTTATACGTTCAGTCAGCGCGATTCTGTAGGCGCGCGCTTCTGTCAAAAACGACGAGAAAGAGAAAGAACGAAGGGAGCAGAGAGGGAGAAAGGGAGAGAGGACACAAGGCGAGACGAAGCAGCCCATTCATTCAAAAGATAAACGCCACGCCAAGTACAAAGTGCAGCCGATGCGCAAAGTGAAAATAATTATCTGCCAACGACATTTCTCTATTATTCCCTCTTCTCTGTGAATTGAATTAAATTGAAAAAGATATCTTGAGCTCTGTATTTTTTACTTATTTAAAAAAAGTTAGATCTTTTTTTTTAACATTGTACTGTTTCAAATGTGTTGCAAAAAATAAATTTAAGCATCTCACGTGGTTTTGTGCTACGCGTCTCTCGCCACGCGATCGATCGATGCGAGCCTCTCATGTAAAATAATATTATTTTTTTTCGTTTCGATCAAAGACACGCGAGAAGGAAAATATGGCATAAAATAGCCTCGTATATGGAACCGCCGTAATCCTTCCCTCTTTAATCTCTTCTCATATATCTCGCGAACTTTTTGATAAAAATATTTCCATTCTCCGCGCTCGGTCGATTCTTTTCTCTTCCTCGAGAACCCGACGTTTTGACAAACAAAAGGTTTAGGAAATTTTTACCAAATACATATATATCGTAATTTTTTTAACAGATCGTAATTATTTTATTCATATTATTTTGAACCTACTGTTGTAAGAGTCGCCATTGATTACGTAACAAAAAAAGTTCTCTCTTCTTTTTTTTTATTTGCAACTATGATAATTTCACTCTTGTGTTGTACTACAATAACTGACTCTTTTACAACAGTGTTCACTTTTCACTTAATATAATTATATATATATATATATATAATATAAATATAATATATAAATATTATATATATATAATATATATATATATATATGTGTGTGTGTGTGTGTGTGTGTGTGTGTGTGTGTGTGTGTGTGTGTGTATGTGTATGTGTGTGGGCTATCGTTTTTAGGAAAAACTACCGATTACTTAGTGTTTATCGGAACTTATCGATTGACTGTCCCAGCTGCACATTTTTTATCTAAGGTTCCGCGGACAAGATGATCTAAGTATGACATCGCAATAAATTCTGTTGCTAAGGCAAATAATATAAGAATATCCTAATCGGAGCGATCCTGAATTTTAAGTATATACTTGCAATTTATCCATGGGTTTAACATGTCTAAAGTGTGAGTAACGATTATACTATAAAAGATAAATTTAAACATCTCACCTGCGCTCACGCGATCGCTTCGCGAGCAATAAAAAGTTCGTACGTATTTTTCATCTCGATCAGAGAGATCGGAGCGAGAACAGAAATATGGTATAAAACAGCCTCTCCTCGGACCGCCATGATCTTTCCCTCGCTTACTCTCCTTGCTAGAGCGCGGTCTTTTTAATAAAAATATTCCCCCTTCCGCCGTGCTCGTCTCGGCCCTTTTCCCCTCCTCGAGAACCCGACTTCATCCCTCTCACTCGGTCTTGCTCTCGCTCGCACCACAGCCTGCAGAGAGCTATGTAGTAGCAGGGTGACGCGATTCGGCGTCCCCTTCGTGCGGAGGCACTTAGCGTGAAGGTATTTGTCTATCGGAAACTATACCCTCGCCGCTCGTGCGCGCCATGAAATCTGTCCCTTTCGCACGCCCTCACAAGATTCCCTCGGCGAACACGAGAGCCCTGCGCGCTGTTTTTTCGTAGTGTCGCGGTAGTTAGATGACACGTGTACGCGATTCTGCAGGCGCGGTGGTGGGGAGGGTGGCAGGGGGCAAGGTACGGAACTCGCTACTCCGCAGTATCGATATACCCATTTTCGATCGTGACGTTAGAAGAAAGGCGACACGAGCGCGCTGCTAATTCAACTGTTCGCGTCGCGCTTCGCGCATATAAGCCGGCCCGCCGCTGCGGCATTGTATTATACTTTGTAATAAAGTCATTATGTAAAAATAACTGCGTACGCTGGCAAGGAGTGTACTTTGTGCCGAGTAATGAATTTGCATCAATCGCGCGGATTTATCGCTCGCGGCCCTGATCAAGATCGACAAGCGGAAAGTCGAGACGCGCAGGCCGAACAGGTTTACTCGGGACAGAGTGGCGGCGATGAAACAAACGTCGCGGGCTGCAACCCTCTACGTTATACCACGCGGGCCGAAACTCGCGCTCGGCCAATTTTCCGAGTTCCCAGTTCGCGAGCGAGCGAGCGAGCCTTCGTTCCTCCAGTCGACCGCTCTTGGAGAGTGTGTAAGTACCTTCGATCCGCGCGCTCTGTACAGACATGCATCACACACGCACACACGCCCGGCGCATCGAGGCTCCCGGGAGGGTGGCCACGGGGTGGGATTTTGTTTTGCCGGATGCGCAGTGTCGCTACGGGGCAATTAAAGCACCGTAAAGCTCGTCGATCGGACGACCCAGCGAGACCGGCCTCCAGCAATCAATCGGACCTTTTGTGCGACCAGAATTACCTTCGGTACACTCAGTAGTATACGCGTGCATATACACATACTGCAACTTCTCCCTCTTATTCCCTCCCCTCTTCTCTCTCTCTCTCTCTCTCTCTCTCTCTGTCTCTCTCTGCCTGCACCTTATCTATCTCCTCCGCTCTATCTGTCCGTCCCTCTTCCTCTCGCGGTGGTCGGTACTTCGGTCGCGAGTAGCTGCCTCGGGGCGAGGGATAAGCGCGCACCAGGGCGGTCGATATTGATAACTTCACCCTGTTCCAGAACGAGCGGCAGATAGAAATCACACGACGGCGACCGGCGACGGTTTCGATAAAAACGCAAGCTGCTCCTGCACTTCGGTTCGCAAATCCGCCAAGGATCGCTCGATCCTTCTTACGCGAGGCAATTTATCGCGTATCCGATCCTGCTTGACATCAATTTCCGATTTGTCCGACATCGACGAGAATACACCGATGATGAAAATTCGAACGATGATTTCACTCGAGACCTGGTGGTTCTCCTCGACTCTTACACACGCATGTACCTCCCCAGTGGACGATTCACGCTTCCCGAGCGAGCCGTCTTCGGGGCGCCTGCGCTCGCTCCGCACCTGCGTCGCGATCCCGCGGAGCGGGGGCGGCGAAGACGACGGCGGTGGTAGCGGCGGCCGCGGCGGCGTAGAGGAAGGCAACGAGGAGGCATCGCCAGTAGCTCCCAAGCAGTGACTCCGCGCGTAACGACATGTAACCATCGGACGGCCGTTTCGCGCGGTGTTATGTCATCGGTGACAATCGGCAGGACGCGGAAGTCCGAAACTCGCGAACACCGCGGCCGATGATCGCGCGCGCGCGCGCGCGTTTCGCCCGCGCTCCCCCGTCAACGGAATCGCTCGGCCCTGAGCGTTCCGCCTGTCTTGCTGTGTCCCCGCGACTACCGACTCTCACGTCCGACGTCGGCCAACGACTCCGTCGTCCTCCTCGTCGTCCGCGCGGGTAGTCGCGTTCACGTCATACCAACGGAGTTACACCGTTCGCAAGAGCTCACGGTTGCAGCGACGAAGAGACAAGCTCTCCATTTCTCTCTGTCTCTCCCTCTCTCTCTCTCTCTCTCTCTCTCTCTCTCTCTCTTTTTCTCTCTGCTTCTCTCTCTCTCTCTCTCTCTCTCTCTCTCTCTCTCTCTCTCTCTCTCTCTCTCTCGACCTCGATGGGTCGAAGACACTCAACGCGGCTAGCAGCCGTGAGCTCCGGCGAGTCGCCGCCGCCGCCTCCGCCGCCGCCGCCACGAGCTCGTTGCAAATCGACGCTCCGATGAAGATCGACGCCCGTATTCGCGTGTCCCCGTTCGCTCCGCGGCGTGTCACGGTTCGATAGCCGGATGAACGCCGGCGACCTCGGCGTTTGCGTCGACGGTGCGCGATTGTGCCTGGGATCGAGCGGCGGATCCGCTCCGAATGTCGACGAACTCACAAACGCGCGACGCTCTCACCCCGACGACTGTGGCCGCGGACGGAACGGATAAAACGCTGACGGACGCACGGCAGGAGCACGACAGGATGACGTGATCAGATCCTGGCACACGCGGAAGCGTCGTCCCAACTCGGCAATGGCGATACGGTGGCCTTGAGATCGATTGCACGAGACCGAGCTCGGTGAACGGCCGGGGTGTACGACTCGGCGATTCCAAGTCGAATTCGCGCGATCGTTCCGTCCCATTCGCGCTACCGGGTGTCGCGATCGCGCCGGTACGGCACCGCACCGTCTCGCGAAGGAGGTTTACGATGCGCGGTGCGGTAGTCGCTGGCAGTACGTGTCGCGATCATGTCGAGGAGTTCCGCGGCGCACACGGATTGCTCCCTGCGATTGCTGCAAGCATGTGAACGAGACTGAGGGCTCGAGGCGCGTTTAAGATTCGCTCGTGCGGGCAAACCGCAAAGTAATATCGCGCTGGTTACGTGGTGTGAGCGTATATACATAAGTGCGAATCGTCATCGTCCGCGACGTCCCGGCGTCATCGCGATCGATCTCGTCGCGACGATCGGGGGACCGGCAACGGTCTCGTCGATGGCAGAGTGACAGAGTAACCACCGTGCGTTGAATGGAGTGATGAGCGGGGCCCCTGCGCGGGGCACAGTGCCCCGTCGTCAAAGACGCCATCATCATCACCACCACCGTCAGCAGCATCATCGTCATCATCAGCCGAAGCATACGAAGCACGCGCGAGAGGAGACGCCGCGGGACGACGCGTTGAACGGCGAACCGGAGGAGAAGCGACCGAAGGTCAACCCGATCTTCCTGTGGGCGTCGCAGCGTGAGCAAAGGATCATCGAGGTGAGATGCGAGGACTACGACAAGCGTAATCGCATCAAGCTGACCAAGACCGCGCAAGGATGGCGCTCGATACCACGGACGACGTCCAACGTGTACTCGGTCGCCCTGGCCACCGCCAACGCCTGCAAGACGAGGCCGCCGCCGAGCTTGGTGGACTCGCCAGCTTCTTCGGTCTCGTCCAACGACGAGAAGGAGAACGGCACACGGTGCCAAGAGACCGTGGCGAACCCGCACCAACGTCTGCCGATTCGAGTATACCCTGTCAACATAGCCGGCGCGACCAATGGTTTGCTTGCCGGCGTCGAAGGCACCGGCAGGAAGAGGTGTTACGAAGACGCGAGGAGCGACGAGAATCGCCGAGGATACGCGTATCCCCTCGGAGTCCGTGACGACTCCAAGTGGAACGCCGTTCATCAAGGTTGCTCCGAGGACAGAGGTAAGGATGACAGTGAGCGAGAAATGCGACCGGAGAACGTGGAATGCGAGGTGGATTACGAGCGGAGTAAAGCTGAAGAGCGTATGTCGAGCCTCACGGCTAAGCACAGACCGGTGGACACTTGGGTCAACCTGGAGAGGCTGCAGAAGGACAAGCTGTTCCAGCCGCGCGTGGTGCTGGAGCAGTTGCATCTGTCGCAGCTTGCCGAGAATACGCAACAAAGTCCCAACCAAGTCGCAAACGTCGTTTGCCAGGCGAGAGAGAGAACAAACGTCACGGCGAGCGAAACGGAGCGGATGGAAGCAAACGGCGAGCGAGATGAAGAGCAGCACGAGGTGATCAACGAGACGGGGGAGGAGGAGGAGGAGGAGGAGGAGGAGGAGGAGGAGGAGGAGGAAGAGGAGGAAGAGGAGGAGGAGGAGGAGGAGGAGGAGGAGAAGGAAGAGAAGGAGGAGGAGGAGGAGGAAGAGGCGCTGGCCACTGATGAAAAAGACAGTGAGACGTGTCCGCGGGTGAATAAAGCAGGCATTCAGGATCTACTGAACATGATAGACGCCACGGCATCGCCCGTCCTCGCCACCGACACTCCCAGCGCCGACTTGCCGGTGGATTCCACCAAGACCTACCAAGTGCTCGACGAAGACACGCGCGAGATAAAGACGACCCAACACCGAGACAAGGGAGTCATCAAGGAGACGAGCGACATCGTGGAGCAATCGTCCGACAATGCGAGCGAGTCGATATCGTGTTACAACATCGGGACCGTCCAAGACGGCGACGATGAGGATGACGATGACGATGACGACGGCGTCGACGGGGACGACGTCGACGTCGACGAGAAGCCCGAGGTGAACGAGGGGAAGATCCTCGAGGACTATTCTCTAGACGTGGAGGAGAAAAAGATCTGCGTGGACAACAAGATCTTGTTTTCGCTCAAGAACAACCCCGAGACAGCGTTGCGATCCTGCAAAGTCGCCGAAGCCGACGGTGGTCTGGCAAATTCCCGACCGAGACGCGCACCCAGCTCGCTGGTCACGTGGCAGAATGTGCCGGGCGAGGAAGTGCCGTTGGAGACCGAAGAGGCGCTGGACGAGCCCGGCGAGCCGTTGAAGATCGATTACGACGACAGCTCGAAGCTACTCGATGCTCTGAGGAACACCCCGGGACTGTCGGTGTCCGTGATGAAGAGCACACCCGAGATCAGCAGCAAGAACCTCATCGCGCCGCCCGCGAGGCCAGCCTCAAAGGCGTCCTCGTCGAGCAGGTCGCCGGACTCGCAAGCGGAGTGCGTGGAAAAGTTGCTAAAGAACCGTAGCGTCAATTCGCCGACGACTCCCGGCTTCCTCGACAATCGCGGGTGTACCATCTCCCCCCGTAACCTACCGGGGCTGTCCATCATTATACCGAATTACCGCTACCGAAGTAGCAGCGCTAATCAGTTAAGCACGAGTTCGCCAAACACGAAACGCCGCGTGGAGTCGCCCGAGAGCACGGTGAGCTTCAACAAGGCCGAACCGGAAGAAATCAAACGCGACGAAGCTCCCCGGGAGGAAAACGAGGAGGAATACGAGGAGGTGGAGGACGAGGAAGATGACTGTGATTCACAAGTGTTGGAGGATCTCAGGAGGCAAAGGGCGGACTCGCTGGTGTACGATAGTATGGACGCGGATTACTACGCGGGTCACAACGGCTCCAGGAACAATACGGAAGAGCGTAAGACTCCGCTGGAGAACGCGAAGGGCGATCAACTGTGGCTGGCCTCCAGCCGGAGCAGTGAGGCGCAGGCCAAATGTAAATATCAGGACCTGGAGCACTTTGACGAGCAGGTGCTGGAGGAGCTGCGGTCTCGCGGCACTGTAGTGTCGCCTCAGCCCAGCGGGATACCGTGCTCACCAGCGCCGTCCAGGAGACCGTCCTCCGCGTATCTCGAGAGGCTGCTTCCGAGCCCACCATGCTCGGTGTCCTGCTCGGAGGACGCCAAGAGCGAGTTGTCGCTCAAGAACATCCTGACGTCCTCGATAGAGTCGAGGGATTACGAGCGACTCAAGGAAGGAGCGTCGACTCGATTCGATCATCAGGGCGTGGACTTCGGTATCTGCCGACCTGTGCACTCGAGTGTCGATAGAAACACCAGCGTTGCCCTCGCTAGAAGAGCCCACCGGAGCTTCCAGGGGCGCCTGGGCGTGCACAATCGGGAAGCGCGAAATCCCGGCAGGCCGATGTCCAGCGGTGACATTCACAGCAGTTTCTACACCGATCGCATCACGCCGAAAAGGCCGATGTCCGCCGAATGGTCGACCAGTCGACAGAAGAATCAAACTAACTATTACCAGAGAACCGCCACTGGTAAAATCGCCAAGAGTCACTTTAATGAACATCTCCAGGACACTTGCGCCACATCGAGTAGCACGGACAGGCTCCTAGACCCGGCTAGTCAACTGCGCGAGCTGATTGAGACCGCCGGTCACCTGATACCCGACCCTCTGCTGGTGCCGCGCGATTACCTGCCGGGTCTGGCTGCAGCACCGGCCACGGAGATACCGAAGTTGCTGGCCACCAGACCCGAGCTGAGGCTACCCGAGGCACTCACCAGACCCGACCTCCTTCGCGACCCCGACCTGCTCGTCATATCGTTGGCGCATCTACAACACGTCCTCGACCACGGCGAGGGACCGGTATCCAGGTCACGACAGCCGCAACCGGCTAGAGTCAGCTGCAACAACAGCAACAACAGGGGATCCGGTGTTCACAGCGGGAACAACGGTGGCGGCGCCGCGAGAGGCAGCATCACGGGGAGACCTAAATTAAGTTGCAGACCGATCGGCACGCTGATGCCGGCACCGATAGACTTGTCGAGCGGCAGAACGCGCGTCAACCCTTATCCGCCTCTCCTCAGGGTGCGCAGCGGACTGCTCAAGCAAGAGCCGGAAGTGAGCTCCACCGCGAGCTCGCCGGACGAGTCGCAGCTGTGGCACCCGTTGTTCGGCAGGTAAGTCGCTCGACTGATACACCTCTTCGCCGAGTACTCTCCAAATTTCTCCGAGTGAAATCTCGCTCTCGAAACGCGTGATAATCACAACGCGAAGCAGTCGAAATAACGCCACTCCAAGTCTCAAGATTCAATTCCAACTTGGGTCGTGTGGATTCTTCATCCACATGGTCAATCGGAGTAAATGTGTTTCTCTGAGGCGACCAAGATGCGTCTCGGGTTTCTATTCTTCAATCTTCGATAAAAACTATTCACTCGATCATTCAGAGCGAAAAAATCATCCTATTGACAAGTCACACGAATTCGAGCGACTGGACTTCGGCTCGAGTCACTTTAGTTTTCAAGTGGAATTTCACTCGAAGAAATTTAGAGAGTGAAGCCTAGTTACGTTCGTGACTTACGTTTCTCTCCGAAACGGATACGTTCCTCGCGTTAATATTCAAGCCGAGAATTGATATCACGCTGATCGCTCGGCCTCCTTCGACTTTAATATTTTCGGACGATTGATGAACCCCCGTGATCGTTAACGGTGAGAAAAACGCGCTCGATTGGCGACGAAGGTGTTCGTATCACGTCGTTATCGACAGGGTTGTTCAATTATGCAAATAAGCAATAGAATCCAATTCTCATTGAGGACGTAACATCCGATGAAACCCGGCGGCGTGGTAGCTTACGCGCGCGCGAACGGACAGCGCACGTCGGATATATTTGTAGAGCGAAAGACGTGAAACATGGAGAAATAAAGAAAAGAGAGAGAAAGAGAGAGGGGTGGGAGAGAAAGAAAGAGAGAAAAAGAAGCAAAGTGGCCGTCGATGCCTCGCTCACACGAGCGCAAATAGGTCGACCTTAATAACGACCACGACGAACCACGAATGTACGAAAACAATACTGTTAACCTTCGACGAAGTCACGAAGGAGTCGCACAAAGCAATGACGACGACGACGACGACGACGACGACGACGACGACGACGACGACAGAGCGGCCGCCGCTCCGGTTCTCCCTCGCGAGCGACACAAAGTGTTCGCACGCAGGAAGTACATTGTGATCCCTTCCGTGTCTGCAATTAACACGCAGGGACACGTTCGACCGTGCAAATGCTACCCGTGTGTATTTTTCTTGCCGACGGGCGGCATGCCGTCCGCAAGAAACGATTAAAATTTACACCGTTTCCATCGATTCGCTCGTCTCTTGAAATAGACAGAAAGAAAGATGATCGTCATATCGATGCTTTATGCATACTGGAGATGAGCGGGAGAGAGGAGGAGGAGAAGGAGGAGGGAGCGCGCTACCGGGGCGTTTCGCGATTCCGTCCGCAGACAGGTATATGGACTCGCGACGATGACGGCGACTGCCGTCACAGCGACGGCCACGAGGTTCATTTGCATTTTAATACGGCGACGGTAACGCGACTCGGCGCGCGGTTAGCCGCGACGCACCTAACGAATTCTGCCGAGGCGCTTGTCACTCGAGCTTAATAACGAGCCGATCCGTTGCGCGGCCGTACATCGACACTGTTAAATATTTAAATTAGATCGAGCGCAACGCGCCGAGCGAACGAAAGAAGCGACTCTCGGTATCGCGCCTCCTACACGTCGACCATACGACAACACGGCGTGTGACCTACTATATTACGCTTCCTCCGCCGCGCTCGAAAGGAGGGCTGATGGGTGTCGTTAGAGTAATTGGGACGAGGCGGTGGCGATGCACCGCGGTCCCAGGGAAAATATCACGACGTGGGAAACAGAGAGGACAATCATCGCCCGCACTCATGCGCGCGCGGGAGAGGGACTCATCGAAAGGCAGTGTGTTCGGCCACCTCGACGATTCGAAGGAAGAGAGAGAGAGAGAGAGAGAGAGAGAGGCGCTTAGAATAGAATCCCCAAAATTGCGTGGACAGCGGAGATTTTTGGCAGCGTCAGCTCGCGCTCGAAACACACGACTTTAATCCTATCGAGAGCGGGCTTCATCGCGCTCGGAGTACCCGCTGACCCGCTCGGAAAATTTCCAGACCCGATCCTGCAGCACACACGACTATCGCTAATTGGCGGATCGAGACTTCGCTAATTAGGACCGACGGCCGCTGTTGCTGCCGTTGCGCGATCGCAGCCATTGGCACGACGCGAAACTAGGTCGTGGCGTCGTTTTTCGTCCTACGTTCGTTGTTGGCGCTCACGCGAAGACAACGATGAAGACTGCGAGGACGAAGAAGCGGCGACGGCGACGGCGACGAGGACGAAGAAGCGGCGACGGCGACGGCGACGGCGACGGCGACGGCGACAGCGACAACGACGGCGGAGGAGAAGGACGAGGCACGGTTGCGCAAGTCCGCATATTTAGGATTCATAGGCTCGAGTATAGATCCGAAGGAATCGATAACGATACGTGGGTAGAAAGGGTAAAGGATACCCAACGGCGGTATGCTAATTTTCCTTCACGGTAGGGAGGACACGTCTGCGATCGTTCGTACGACGGATCGCTTCATTTATTATGTTTGGAGTGACGTCCCGGGAAGCTGCTTTAATAAATTAGCCTTGAACCGAGATTTGATTAGACGAAGACCTATATACGGCGACCATATGACGACACACGTGACGACGGCATATAAGACGACAAGCAGCGCGTCACTCATATTTCAGGGAACGCAAATTCCAGCCGAGTCGCGAACAGATTCGCTCTATCGTCGCGCTCGCCGGAAAAATCGCGCGTATACGCGATATACGCGTCCCACTCGTACTTCTCATCTTGACGGAGTGTGCGCGCGTGTTTTAATTAAAACGAAAATAGACTCCTGTGCGCCACGTAGAACGCATCTCTCGACACGTAGCCGGCCAGAGCGCGAGTTCTTTCCCCGACGAGGGTTCGCAATCCCGATCTCGACACGGATGAGCGCAAGGAGCAAGAAGTACGCGATCTTCCGAGCCTGAGGAAATAGATATCGATTCACGAAACAGCGAGGGAAAGACAGAGAGAGACAGAGAGAGAGAGAGAGAGAGAAAGCATGTATATGTTCCGGAGTCAACGTGGCATCTCCGCGTATCTCTCTAATGAAACGCACGGGAGGACGCGTCGTCGGTAATTAATAACACGTACGTCGCGTCTCATCGTGTCGTCTCGTCTCGGCCTCTGCGAAGCTGCGACGGAGACCGGCTCGTCTCGCGAGGGAGGCCCCGAAAGCCGCGCAGGATTACACGGTACTTGATCGAGTATCTGATGTAAACGCGAAAGCACCAGCCACCACGTATGCGCGCCCATGCACGACGGCGAAGTACGAAGCGGCCCCGAACGCCCTTTCGCCGCACGGCGAAGCATTTGTGTAAATAGCATTAGGACGTTATTCTCCGCGGAACGGAGCGGAGCGGATGGACGGCTTTAATGAGAGGGAGAGGCATTAGAGGAGGGTCGTCGTTGGGTCCTCCTCGTCGTCCTCGTCGTCGTCGTCGTCGTGTGACGACACGAGCGCTCATCGATCGCGCAAACGCTCCGGCAGGGAATTCGAAAGCGCGGGGAGCGCCGGACAGGAAGCAAAAATCTCCCCCCCCCCTCCGCTGCGGGCTTTAACCCTCTCGCGGAAGGCCGGATGGACGGAGCGAGTGTGTGGAGCAGACACGAAAGGCAGGAGGGAGGGAAGAAGGGCGAAATCAATTTGCTATTCCGGAGTAACGATCTCGTCAAGAGAGGATCGCGCGCGCGCGCGTATCGTCCTGCTGATATTCGCGTTTCCACAGATATTCGCCCTATTTTTATTATTCGCGTGCTAATAGCACGCTTTGAAATCGGAGCAATGTGACTGAAACACGATGACTGCGCATCGACAAGTAAATATTCCGAGCTTCGAGATAGAAATGTTTTTCTCCAATATTCTCTTACATAATGGCGCTCCTCTTCGCATAATTCTTCCTCTATAACTGCGTCGCACATTGCGCACGTTAAAGAAAGAAAAAGAAAAAAGAAAAGAAAATAGAAAAAAGAGGGAGAAAAAAGAGCTCAGTTGGAAACATGTCAGTGGCAATGGTATTGATGCGTTTGCTATTCTTCATGCGACTTTGTAAATCAACAGGATGTGATGTACATATCGTCCGTTTGATAAGAACGCGTCGACGCGTATATATTGCAAGCGACACGTGGAGCACTACCGCGACCTAATCGGGCGACGATTTAAAAAAGCGCACGCTCCAATCGTCCGTCCGAGATGACGTAACGATGAATTATTGCGCGGGAAGGGTCGTATCATCTCCATTCACGTATAATTAATTCACACGCCGCACCGACGCTACACATAACAAACCGTAAGTGATCCCGATAAGCGTAATTACACACATCGACAGGTATAATTCCCCGGTATATAACAACGAGGTGAGTGTGTGTTGTGCGCTCTTAAATTATATCTTGAGAGCAGTTAAAAGCATGTTTCACGACGATTTTACAATATTTGCATGGCTGCTCGCGTATCATCCTGCGGACGGCGGAGAAGCTTCAAGCAACAATATAATAATAATAATGTATATTTCCACGTTTGCCGGAGAAAAGCAGATGGATATATTCCGTAGGTGAATTTTAACTGCGATCGCCAGGCCAATCGGGCGCCGCCGGTCTGTTCTCCTCGAGAATTTATAAAGATCAAATCCCAAACGAGAGAGGTCGAACTAATCGAATCTTCGGCTTACAACGTGGCTAACTACGATGATCGTCGGCGATATTTCTCGCGTAGCCGCGCACTCCAAGCCGATTCCAACCTACCACGATGGAATCTCGGGAGATCTCCCGCCATAGAATTGGATCGACGCAGGGCTGTACCCATCGACTATTCAGGAGACCGGCGCGATTTACGAGACGTCCGGTCGGATCGGTCGATGCTCGCCGGCCCTGAAGACTCACCTCGCCCACGTCCACGCCCACGTTCCCGCCGCAAGGAGAGGAAGAAAACCCAAGAGAAAGGAAGACCGTATCGAGACAGAAGGAAAGAGCGAGACGGAGCGAGAGAGGGAGAAGAGAAGGATTAAGAACGGACGAAACTAAAAGGTAGAGAACGAGGAGAATGACTGAAAGTTAGAGGAAGAAAAAGCCGTCGCAGAGAGAGAGAGAGAGAGAGAGAGAGAGAGAGAGAGAGAGAGAGAGAGAGAGAGAGAGGAGGAGAGAGGGAGAGAGGGAGAATCCTCGTCATTTACTCTTTTTCTTCTTCGCCTACTTCCCCCTCGTTCCCTCGCGCGATTTTATCTAGTCGTTCCTCCCCCTTGCCCCTCCCTATTCCTCTCTCATTCGCGTTTTCTATGTTCTGTCTCGTTCTTCCTTCCGCCTTCGTCGTTTCTACCACCTTTGTCGTCATCGGTAGTTCACTTTCTCTAGCTTGCTTCCTCTATCCGTTTCTCTCCGCCTCTTGCTCTTGCCCTCGCTTTTCACTCTTCGCTCGTCCCCAGCAATAACTCGTTGGAACATTCGCGACCCGTCAGAACTATCCGAGTTCGCGGTATCGCTTATAAAGTCGACCGGTGATGAACATAGCTCGACATCGCAGTGATCGAGCCAGACGAGGGGGTCATTGGTCCCCTGAGACTGCCTCGAAGAAGTTTCTCTCTCGCTCTTGCCCTCACAGCGCTTCCTTTCGTCTTCTCCGGTACACTCCGGTATACGTACGTATTGCCGATGTGAACGCACCTTTAAAAGCGGATCGATGGATATCGCTAGGAAGCGCACACGCATACACATACACACACATATACAGTACAATTCGTGCGGTTTGTACGAAAGGGTGCCGATGACCAAAATTGGTCGCGAGAAACAACGTCTATTTTAGGATCGTTCGCAGGAGTACAATTGTTGCCGAGGGGAAACAATTTCCTTCATTCGACGTGAGGAGACGTGAGGAGGTGTTAATCGTTTTTAACAAAACAGAATGACGAAAAACGGACAACGATAACTCTACATTCGAGCGAGGTCTCGCGGAATATATATCGGCGATATAAACGACTTGCTCCGCAGGACGAGAGCGCGATTTCTCGTAGGAATTCTCTCGATATTCGTAGGAATTGGAATAACGACTATATCGGCACACAATATCGGACTTGTGATAAATTTGGGAAAAATCGGCCGCGAGCTGCGGCAATATCAGCGGCGATGCCGCGGAATGAGAAGCCTGCACACCGAGGCTGAAAGTAACGACGATGATCGGCCGACGACGACGACGATGACGACGATGATGCGAAGCATTATGACAATTTAAATCCACCGGACGGAGATTGCAGTTTCAAACATCACGTCGGACGCAAATAGGATAAGCGGCTCGAAGAAAAGACAGTGCCGGCATGCGACGCGGAAATTTATGCGAGGAGCGCAAAATCGATCGCACGGCAGAACGCTCTCCGCGCTTACCCGGTCAACGGTCCCGCGAAAGAGTTCTTGCGCGAGCACGTCGCACAGTGACGTACTTACTTACTTATCCACGCACTAACGATGTGTATACTCCCGAGCCTGCTCGCGCGACAATACTTGGCCGTGGCGCGCCAGGGGGGCTGAGAGGGAACTCCTATATAGTTTTATACGAGACAGGATGTCGTGCATGTTTAATGCGCGCCGAGACTCGATGTACGGACATAATCGCGCGCTGCTAAATGATGAAGATAGGAAATCGGACATCGATCGTCGGCAGCCGCGGCCGGTTCTCCCTTCGGATGCTATCCGAAGAAGGCTTCCGAGGTCTTCGCCGACGATTTACGCAACGAGCGAGTCAAGACGGAATGGAACGGCACGTGCGCGCGACAACGCGAATCCCATTGCGGTTGTTGTCCGTTACCGTTGGGCGTGCGCGCGTACAGATTCGTACTTTATCACGCTGCACGCGGATCGATGTGCGTGTACCCTCGCGTCGTGTGCAGACAATAGCTCGTATTCTCCTTGCTCGTACGACGCTAAATGCGTCTCTCCCGATAATGCCGAGCATATGCCAGGATCACGAGCGCGGACGTCGCAAAGTCGGACGGTTGCGCGCGCGTGCGCTCGGTGTTAGCTAAATTTAGTGCGAACAACCGTCGTCGTCGTCGTCGTCGTCGTCGTCGTCGTCGTCGTCGTCGTCGTCGTCGTCGTCGTCGTCGTCGTTGCGTTAAATCTTAACCCCGGGAGATAAGTAACGTTACTTTCCGCTACTGTTGTTTGTCGTTGCGAGTATAGCGGTGAGACGCGTCGCTCACGCGCCGTAAAATTGCCCTTAACGGTTTTAGATACCGCAACGAAAATAGAGATTGCAGAACGCAATAGAGGCCGCAAATTTAAGACCCGTAAAATCGAGGACTTTGGTTCGCGCGCGAAGTGCACGTTTTCGCGACGGCCATCGTTACGATCGTCGCGTTACGACCGACGACGCGGCATCATCAGCGCGCCGCGGCTCGGCTCGTACGCGCTAAATAAATTCACGTCGATAGACCTATTCCGACGTTCTCATAAATCCGCGCAGGTTCGCTCGTAGCGAGTGACGGTTGAAATCGTTCGGCCGCATTTAGCGCATTCGCGGCGATCGCGCGTACGACATTCGCCGCGCGCGCGCGGGGTTCTTTTTTTAGAGATTTCAGTTTCGCCATAGAGCGCGCGCCGTGGAATCTTTCGCGGATCGATGTCTATATATAACCGCGCGACGGTGGTATGGCCGTAGGTGCGAGATGAGGCTATTTCGGCTCACCTGGATGCTCTTTAAATCTCGGCCGTCGTACTGCGACGCGCCCGCGTTCGCGCTTCAATTATCGCCGCTACCCTCGTTAATCGTCAGCAGATTACGCGGAAATCACGCGCGCGAGCGTCACATATTTCAAGCCCACTTGTGGCATCTTAGATTTCTGCGGCGCAATTGATCGCTCCACCGAAGGAAATTCGAGAAGAATTCGAACGCTACGAGGGTCGTAGCGAACGCGTGCGGTGACACGTGTTTGCTCGCGCCACGTGGCTTTCTTTCCAATGATGAACGTCGTCGTCGTCGCTGCCGTCGCTCCCCCACGAGATTTGCGATCGTGGCACCAGGTAGAGATTCTGCTCGCCGTGAGTGAGCAAACGTGAGCGTTCGACCTCGCGCGCACGTATATGCGCGCATACATTAGCACAAACTCGGACGAACACGAAGCGAGCTCGAGAGACGGACTCGTGTACGTGGCTTATCACTCATCGCTTTTTCACTTCGAACTCGCTGGCGTCGTCATTGCGTCAACCGTCGCGCGATGTCGGAGACGCGCAACGATCGATGAAAGTAAAAGAAATGAAACAAACTGGGGAAGAGAGAGTGGCAGGGAGAAAAGAGGGAGAGAAAGAAAGAGAGAGAGAGAGAGAGAGAGGTGGGAATTGTAAAGCGAGAAGGAACATTTCAAGACAACGGTCTGATCGCCGACGGCAATCGTTGAAAAAAATGTAACATTATATAGCCGCAGGGTGATTGCTCGCCATCCCTTCGTGAAAAAAAGACCACGCGAGCTCACGAAGAGAACGAGGCGGTGGCGTTTACCTAGAAGAGTGTAAGTCCCTGCGACGGCAGAACCTTCGCGGCGATGCGCCGCGAAGTTAATTTCGCGCGATTTTTCCTTTCGTCGCGAAAGAACGTGGCCGGACTCCCGAAGATTCGAGCGTCTCGAGCCAGTGTGTTCTCTTCTCGTTTCTTCTCGCGTTTCGACGTCGCATACGCGACCACGCAAACCGTAAATCTCGCGCGCGCGCGTCACGTGCACGACAATAATTAATTTAGACGAAATTAGCCGGGGAATCGATTGACCTCTGCGAGTGACTGACGTCCGAGCGTTGAGACGAAAAACGATTTACAAACAGGGGCGGCCGGCGTGCACGTGACAGCAGGCCGACGCCACGTGGCGTTTCTTACGTCTCGCGTACGCGCGCGCCCTTTGTATTAAGATTCGCGGGCCACTCGGCACCACCGTGAAGCTTCGCCCACCCTCGCGCCCTGCCGGTGTGGATCGATGTGTGCATCGACACGCACACGTGCGCCGGCGAACATGTGCGTGCGCGTATGTGTACGTGTGTGTTGCGTGCATGAGCGCGTGGGCGGCCCTGTGGAAGGATGCCTAGGAGTTCGACTCACCTCGCGACAAGTAGTGACGTAGTTGTGGTAATATGTAGAGGATAAGAGAGACGGAGAAATATAGACACACATACATGCACATAGAGATAGATGGAGAGAGAAAGAGAGAGTGAGAGAGAGAGAGAGAGAGAGAGAGAGAGAGAGAGAGAGAGAGAGAGAGAGAGAGAGAGAGAGAGAGAGAGAGAGAGAGAGAGAGAGAGAACGAGGAGGGAGAGAGCAGAGAAGTAGAGAAAGACAGAGCAGACGGGTTGGGACAGGCAAGAAGGAAAGGGGAGAAACGGGGGAACAGGGAGGGGGAGAGAGAGAGAGAGAGAGAGAGAGAGCACATAATCTGCGCACGTGCGGACGGAGAGCACCTCGATCGATCCTCGTCGTTGCAAAGAGTCGTTACGAGCTGAGTACCGGTACTCTCGCTGCCGGTACTAGGATCCATACAGCAAAGACTAGCTAGCGTGCTCTCGAGTACGCGAGATAGAGGAGAACGAGAAACACCCCGCGCCAGAGCTTTTTCTTCCGTTCGGAGATCCTTCCGTCTTGTCCGTCGCAATTAGACGAGGTGATGATACCCTATTTAGATCACGGGCTGAAGGCAGAAAAGTGGGCTACTTGGCAATTCTGACGTGCGACCAGCTTATTTATTTAAATACGTATCGAGCGCTAGGGCTCGGGCTAGATTATATTAAAAGCGAGCGGCACCCACACGAGGTGAGATATAACCCCGCGAAAAATATGCGTTCTTTTTAAAGCGACCCACATTCTGCCTCGCACGGTTGAACGGTGGCTTGCCTGGAAAGACGATCAGCGACATGAGAAAAAGTACTTATCAACGGATGACCTCAATGAGCATCTAACCTCGATCTAACGGCAAACGGACGAAAATACTCCGGAATTAGCGCGCACGATCGGGCAACGTCATACACTCGTCTAGAACGAGCTCGAATCTCAATGTATCGACGCCTTGTTAGTCGCAGTCTCGCCGGCGAGTACCTACGCCTTTATAGCTTGAACCGCGGCGGTGCGGGAACGCCATGGTTGGCGTGAAGGAAACCGGCAGAAGGAAAAAGAAAGGGTTTCGCCGGTGAAAATCCGCGATCGCGAACCGACAATCTTCTCAGCCGTAAGCCACGCCAAACTTTCGGCCGATATTTCGCCAATCAGGAACAACTCGCCGTTATAGCCCTCATCAAATTTTCAAGCGCGATGTACGCGCGCATACCTCGCGCGCACTGGACGAACTTTCCCAAATGAAGTTCGGAACTTCTTTCAGACCGACTGGCCGCACGCGCGTCAACTTGACGGAGTGCACAGATCGGAGAGAATTTATTGGCCTCAGCCTCAGCCGCTTCGTCTACGTGTTACTTATTACGTGGCTGCCGTATGTAAAATCGCGCTGGACGAAACTCTTGAAAAATTAACCGGGAAAGGGGCGGGCTTGGCGCAGGGGGAACTATCGATCTCGGTACTTGCGGTCGAGTCGTAATCTACTTCGTGTTGTTTCACGGATGATCCCCTGACCAATAGCTGTCCCGCTTGCCGGCGAGATTCATTATCCTTGAACATTTATTTAAGTTTTCCGACACGCAAGAGCGCGACGTCCTCTGACAAAGGCGAACGAGAGAGAGAGAGAGAGAGAGAGGGAGAGAGAGGGAGGGGGGGAGAGAGAGAGAGAGAGAGAGAGAGAGAGAGAGAGAGAGAGAGAGAGAGAGAGAGAAAACGGGGGTCAGGCGGGAGTTGAACGTATCGTTAGCGGGAAAGAAAATTATAGCTCGCCATTGGTCGACTGAATATTTCACGAGTATCAGTGGTTTAATTGTCGCTGTCGATGCGGGACGGGTCGCTCCGAAGCGCGAAAAAAGTTTAATCGACAGCAATAACGCTCGCTAAATTGTAAATGCGCGCGACGTTGAATACTCGCGCTCCTCTGCCGCATCATTTGCATATTCGGCTACCTGCTGAACATTCGCGATATATGCATGCGACGTAAGATTTAAATATATTTTTGAGAAGGCCCGTGCGACAGCGCGCGCATTTCTCGCGTCAGAGGGAGCGGAAAGCGGCAGGATCGATACGCCGTACGGAGAACCGTAATTTAAAGGGATGCAAAAAGTAGACTATAATCAAGACGGCCGACTGTGATGTCTCCTTCGCCATGAAGGCGGGAGGAGAGAGCGAAAGCAGCAACGCGTTCCAAAGACGCGTTGCTGCTTTCGCGCGAGACGACTGTCAATTGCTCCGCTCGAGCTTCGTCGTCCCCGTATGATCCACCCTCCCCTCCCTGGTCGGGGGAATCGAATTGAGCTGCTTGTACGCGAGTTTCATTAACGCGTTTCATCCACCGCGTCGTCGTTGTTTTCAGCCAGTACGACCGCCGTGTGTGTCGTGCGCGCGGCCGCGTCGATACCAAACTCATTCACCCCTTTCTCTGACGCATTTGGTGCTCAGGGTGTCCTTGCCACGCGTCGCCCGCAAACTCAAAGTTCTGGAGCGCCTTCGATCGGAGAATATTCATATTTCATGGCGAGCGTACCCGTTTCAGGGAGTCGCGGCGAGACACGCGCCCACGGCGCCTCGGAAACTCGGCCATCTATATTTCAAATCGTAGTGAGCGAGCGAGCGAGCTTCGTGAAGCGAATAGGTTATCGCTTCACCAAGAGCTGCTCTCTCGCCGTCCAGCGTTCTCGTTACGGGGAGAAGTCGCACGACGCGAGTCAGACGCAAAAAAGTTTCGCTCACGGAGGGACGCCGCTCGTCGACGTTCGCTCTTCAGCAGCGCGGCGAGCAACTTTCAGACTCACCAGACCGCCTCCGCGGACTGCCTTTGTCGTTTAATTGAGCCGGATTATAGACGACCGCGATCGCGACAATTAATCCCGCGGCGTTATCCTTTCTGCCCGTCACTTCGCGCAGAAGCGCCAAGCGAAGCCGTCACGTGAATCCTTCGAATCCCGAGTTCTTGAAAAGGCGCGCGAGAGCGAAGCAGACGGCGAGGCCGTTCTCGGCGCGAAACGGTACTCGAAAATGACAAGGCGGGGCTATCATTGCTCGTGAAGATCCGATGATTTCCGCGAAACCTTGTGTTTGTCACCGGCAATCATCGTACTCCTCGTCGTCACATAGAGACCCGCGGTTCGGAAGCGGAAGACTCCCTCGCGTTCGCACGTACGCTCACATGCGAACACCTTCGCTTCGCGAGAACGACGACGACATGCCGCCGACTTGCTCCTCGTAGCGTGCCTGTTCTTTGTTTCTTTTTCGAGTCACTTTGTATATTTCTTTCGCACCCCTCATTCGCACCGTGAGAATGACGGCACATGGCGGCGAGAAGTCACCGCGAGCGAGAGAGAGAGAGAGAGAGAGAGAGAGAGAGAGAGAGAGAGAGAGAGAGAGAGAGAGAGAGAGTGAGAGAGAGAGAGAGAGAGAGAGAGAGAGAGAGAGAGAGAGAGAGAGAGAGAGAGAGAGAGAGAGAGAGAGACCGGCTGCGACTTGCGACTTATGTCGGAGTCGCGTGCTAGTAATTGTACCGATTACCGCCTCCTTATCCTTTGCATTACGATGCAGGAAAAGTGCTCTTAATTAACGGTTCTAATTGGCCGTCGGCCACGTGGTACAACGTAAATAAAGCGATAAGCCCCGGCCTCGCGCTTTGAGTGAGCGAGAATGAAGATTGCCGAGCGCAGTGCGTCCAACAGAGCGACGCAGCTGTCAAGATCGGGACTTGACAGAGCCGCCGAGACGGGAACTCGAGGTGCGCGCGTCTTGTCGAAACTGCTTCTTAAATTGCGTCACAGTAATTAGATGCGCCGTAATAATTAGCGGCGCGGCGATAACAGCGACAGGCAGAAAATTTCCGCGAGTCTTACATGGCGTCTTATATCGCGGCGACGATTCAGCAAACTCTTGAATCAGAAAGCTGTTGAATATCCGCCCGATACTACTATCAGTTCGAATGTACGAATGACAACGAAATCGATATCTACTATTTATGTCTGTAAATGCAAAGCGATTTCATCTATTTCGGGCGCGCGCACACACACACACACATACACACACTGCGCACGAAGGAATCATCCGAGTATACTGAAACAATATTACGGGAGATTATTTCTCGACGATTGCGACGAATCACAATCCGGAATATCGCAGCGGCCGCAAACGTACAGTAATGCTATATTTAACGAGGATCATTTGCGACCGTCGTTATCGGCGACGGAAAATCGCACAGATTCGAAAATGCACAGATTCGCCTGTGAATCGCGCGGCCGTATAATTACCGGCCAGCCGATTGCTGGACCGCGCGAATTTGCATTCCATCGTAATTACGTTTCGGCCGCGTAATCCTTCACTTATGTGGTTAGCGCGACGATAAACCGCGTTCTCGCGAGCGGCACGCGCACTATTTATTTTCCGCGCGCGCGTGTCGCATTTTCACTTTGCAGGTGTCTGCCGAAGGTCGATCGCGGTTCGCGATGACGCCGCGGATATCGTCTGGAATTCGCTCATCATTTCGAGGGAGAGAAAAAAGTCAAACGCGTATTCTACGTCTGCGTTATCCTTCGCCAATGCGTATGACGCATAGCTCCGAGCGTTCGCAACGTGCTTTCGCAACGCGCAATTGACTCCGTCGTAAAACACGTGAAGAGACGCGTGCTACGTTTGTCGTAACTTCTTTTTCCCCGAGGGGAAAAAGTTACAAAAAATGATCACATCGGAAGAGAAAGAAAAAAGGAGGAGAAGGAGGAGAAGGTCGTGTGTGTCACGATTTGACGATAAACGTCGATTTCAATGCAAACGTCAAGACCCTCGCGACATGTCGATCGTCGACAAAGATTAACACACGACCCTATCTTTTTTCGTTTGCAGCCAGAAGAGGCAGCAACTGCACTCGCAACAGCAACAGCAACGGCCTCAGCAGCCGCAGCAACGGTTGCTGTCGCAGCCGCAGCCGCAGCCGCAGCAGCAACAGCAGCAGCAGCAGCAGCAGCAGCACGTCTCCTGGCACAGGACCACTCTCGCCTCCTGACCACTGTGACCTTGACCCTGACCACGAGTCCAGCGATCCTGGCGCACGGAGAAAGGAGTCGCGTCGGGCGAGGAACGCCGCGACGCCACTTCTTGCGCAGTTTCGGCCAGCCGAAGTCGTACGGCGACATCGAGAAGTGCGGACGAAGGAACGCCGGCGAGGACTGTCGCGGAATGACCTTCGCAGGAACGTATCCTTCCTCGCGGTGGTGTAGCAGTCGACCGGCGCTCCGCGTGACTTCGTCCCACTCGCACGCTCTCCTTTGACCGGCCGTTAATCACATTCACGCTCGAGATAAATAGTCGACTCGACAATAAAAATAGGAGTGCGCAAAGTGACAACGAAGGTAGAAGAGTTGCGTATCTCACACTATCTTGATATATCGGTAATTATTTTCTCTTACGTCACACACATACACTCATGTGGCGGGTAAAGTAAGTTGGCGAGGCGAATTACGAGCGAGATGAATTGGACGGCACGTCAAAGGACGACGCGTCGGTGGAAAAGGACGCGTGCACCTCGACAGACTTGACGAATGTTTGTGAATTATGCAAGAGCGCGAATCATGTGATAAATTCGTACGCGGATGATCAAGGCGGTGACCGAATTAGAATTAGAATAGATTAGCGTCGTATTTTGACAGAGGGAGCCGCCAACTCCTCAACGCGAGCTCGAAGATATATTTTTCTGTTAAATCTTCTTGTACCGTCTACGGGACCTTATTCTCGTATCTAGCCGTCGTAGAGCCAGTCAGCGGTCAAGTTGTCAAGAGACATTTACACGCAAGAGAAAGAAGAGAAGAAGAAGAGAGAGAGAGAGAGAGAGAGAGAGAGAGGGGAGGGGGGCAGAAAAAGAGAAGAATGGAAAAAGAAAAGACGAAGTAATTGCGAAAAGTTGTACAACTCCGTGCGCGTGTATGCACGCGCATATCGAGACTCGATACATGATTTATCCGTCGCGACAGGCACGATTACGCCGATCGGAAAGAGGAGCATGCGTATCCGTGCGGCGCGACGTTCTGTAAGACTAATAACACACCGTCGCTTCTGCAATGTTAATTCCGCCAGGCTTTCTCTCTCTCATCGTCACCCCCCCCCTCCCCGCCCTCCCGCTATAGAATCCCTCGACGTTAAGTGCAATAACGCGCGAACGCCGTGATGAGGCTTCACCGTATTCGTGAACGCATTACTTGTTTTCGGTAATCAATAGAGGTGTTGCGTTTGTCGGCACGTTTGTTGCGAATTACTCAGATGCCAGCGAGCGAGCGAGCGAGCGAGCGAGCGAGCGAACATTACGACCAAGGGAAAGGCAAATCCGTCTCTCCCCCGGTGGATATGATTGAAAATCAGACACGGCACGACGGAGTGCTCTCATATGGTAATAACCGAGTCGCGCCGGAAGTGCAACCTCGCATCTGGCATGACGTTCGACCGTTTCATCGTACCGCGATAATGCGGCGCGCTAATTTCTTCGGTTCGTTGTGTTATTGTTACGTTGTAGTTTATACAGTTTATTAAGGGATTATTCATTAGTCACATGTGATACACGCTCGCGTAATGTGTATATGTATACTCTCGACCATTCGCACACGCGGCGTCGTCACGGCGATCGTAACTAGTCTCCCGATCCGTAGTGTGACGTAGAAATTAGCGCGCGCCACGATCAAATATTTATATCCGTGACCTGTGTGGCGCCGAGTTTGCATCGGACGACGCGCAATCATCCGCCGTTAGCGCGATTAACGATTTATGCGCTCGAGAACACCCGGCGTCCGATATCCTTTGACTCCTTCGACGCGGATGAGTCGCGCGCGATGAGGCAGGCGAGCGAGCGACGAACGAGCGGCGACGACGGCGAGTGCCTTCTTTCGACGGAGATCCATCGACGGATTTCGGGACCGCGTTCCAAAATTTCCTCGCAGTAACCACCCGCTCGCGCGAAAGAATTTCGGTCACCTTCGCTTTTGTGATACTACACGCGCGCTCTTTTGTAACATTTTGGTGCACGACAGCGCGACGATATCTATACGATTTTACGTAATAGAATTCTACGGCAGTCGTAATTAACTGCGGAATAATACGACTGAAATTGTTCCGTGATATGATACACGTACTTATAATACAAGCGAGCGTTATTTGCATTTTACTGTGCCATTTGCATAAACGTCTCTTTTCCCTTTCATCTCGCGTATCACCTTGTATCGCCTCGTACCACTCGTTTTTATGGCGATACTTGTGTGTACATTAATTGACGACAATTGAACCGCGGCTATTTTTAATCCGGTTTTCCGTTTCAGACATCACGACAAGGTAGTCGATCGCGGTTATTCGATTCGCCGTGTATCATCATCTCGCGTGCGAGCGCGCCGGCTATTTCCGTCCGAAAGCACCGGAAAACCTCAGAGACATAATAAGGTATCAGAGAAAGAGAGAGACGGACGGCCATTTCGAACATAGTCACGCTCTAGCGTTCCACTGGGAATGACCACCGTGCGGCATTATTGCGTAAATGTGCAGACCTTATCTAATCCCGTCGGTCGCATTGCGAAATAAAATTCATCGACGCAGGTCTTGGCGTTATTGCGCCAGCGTTACCGGTGTAAACTCGGCGGCTAAAACAAAGTAAGAAGAAAGAATAGAAAAAATAGCAAAACCGACAGGATAAAGCGCGCACGAATCCTTTGCGAACCTCCGACGGAAATGCGACCCGCCTTTTTTGCAGATATTATCAAAATGGTTTTTAATAAACCGCTGCGCGCCAACACACGTACATACACACACGTGCATACACATGCAAAATCTCGTCGTTTACTCTTTGCTTAGAGAACGCTGTGTATATTTCTCTCTGTGTTATATCAAAATGTACATACAGGAAGGCAATGGATGAGACGCGAAGGAAAACGACTGGAGGGAGAATAAGGATAGCAGAACGAAAGAGGAAAAAAAAGGAAATAAAAGAGAGCGTAGCTTCGCGTGACAAGAATAGGTGCTATTCGGTAGTTAACAAAGAGCGAGAACAGGAGACGAAGAGCGAGAAGGAGAGTCACGACAAAGGCGCGTGTAGATAGTCCGTTTAGGTAGAGAAAAGGCGTTTTGTACGGTGCACACATGCATGCGGCAGGGACGTTGGCACGCACGCACGCACGCACGCACGCACGCACGCACGCACGCACGCACGCACGCACGCACGCATACACGAGAGAGACGACGAGATACCGATTAGCGTTTCGTCGAAGCAAAATCCGATGCTCGAAATCCGGCCGAAAAGGATTCCTCGATGACTCGCGCGTTCATCGACATGACTTCGATCAACGACGAACAATCGAGATGATCGAGTGAGGTCTTTCTTCTTCGCCACGTCTATATCGTACTTGAGGCTTATGAGCCAGAAAGCGATATGAAATCGTAACAGTCACGTGATCAGTTCATTGAGACCGCCGAACGTCGGTGGCAATGTCGACAAACGTTAATCGTGTAATTAATCGAGTCTTTCTTTATTTGTACGGGGGACTGATACCGGTGTAATTTCAGAGTTCTGATTCGGATGCGAGATGTACACGACGATTGCACGAATTTGCGCTTCGCAAGTGAATAAAACGCGACGTTCGTTTCTTTCTCCGCGGAGCATCGAGGAAAATTGAACTCGCCGGCAATGATGTCGCTTTTCGACAAGTGTGAGAGCGGTTCCTGCAAAAATCGATATTCAAAGACGAAGGACCCGTCAGAGCCAAAGAGTATATCGTCCGACGGTGGTCGAGATTTTTTATAACCACATCTCGGCATCGATTGGCCATTGTTCGTTAAATTCCCGCTTTATACCGGCCTCAGTCCTCGAATTTGTATATAATTCTTACTTAGAACGCGATAAGAGGAGGAAGGAAAGAAGAAAAAACGAATGGAAAAAAATACGTATTAACCGAGGCGAACCAACTGGAATAAATTAAACGAGGCGCCAGGTGTGCTGTTAAGCGCAAGTATGCGAAATGGACGATATGTATTCGGTGGTGTCCGATTACGCCGTGTCCACGGTCGCAGATAACGCAGACGATCGTCCAACGGCATGAGCACGAACACCGTTCCAATTCCGACGGAAACGCACGTGATTATTAACGTGTCGTGTACGACGACCTCGTTACAAGACCACTTCGACATGCACACGCATAGACGCGGCACGCGTGGTGCACCTCCGACGACGACGACGACGACGACGACGACGACGACGATCGACAATCGACGATGAGACAACAGACCGCACACTCTATTGCGGCGAGAAACAAAGACAACGACCGTTCTGTCCCCGTTTCACCATCGGTAAGATGATATACGCTTATGCAGAAGACTATCGCGAGCGAGAACGAGAAAGAAAGAGACTGGCATTGGCGAGAAAAATTGCCTCTAATACGCGTAATCGTAACCTACCTCTTCACCTCGTTCCTATTCGAGTGAAAGTCTGAGGTCCAAGCTCTAGCTGCGGAATTCGTCCATAGTGGATCTTATTCTGATTGATTTAACGCTAGTCCAAATTTTCACTCCACATTGCACGCTGTAATCGCTCACTGCTGCTTTCGCCAAGCGAAGACTCGAGTATTGATATAGTGAAGCATTTTTTTTATTACGTCCGTTATTACTTGTGTTGACAATTTGAACAGAATTTAGAGATTCAAAAGCGGTGAAAATAGAGAAATTTCGGCAAGGGCCGTCGAAATGGCAGTCGTACATCCCGAGAGACTGGTACGATATCGAGATTTCTTTTCTTTATATTCGAATCCGATGGATATTATTTAAGATTCACGAACGGTTGAGAGTCTCGGAAAAGAGCACGAGCGACCGCATTGGCGCATCATGAGTGCCAGTCATGTTTCCGTCGAAAAATAAGGTACGAAATTTCCTGAAATCTCTCGCGCATTCTATTCTCGCTTGCCAGAAGTAAAATTATTGCCAGAAATAAAATGTAATTAGGACATTAATTGCCTTCGATCGTATATTTCAGCGTCAAGGCGAGACCTTGATAGGGAGGACATTAGAAACTGACACGTGTGTCAGCTCGACGCGTTCGCTCGAGGAGTAAAGTTTCGGAATGAAGGAAGTACCAATTTTCGATTGAGTTTCTGGACTCGTTTAGCACGACGCGGACGAGCTGTCATGAGCTGTCGGGAACCAACGTGACGTCTCTCGTTTATCTGCCGACCGTGGCTCACAATATTAATCACCATTACCCTCACTAGCGCGATACTCGCGCGGAATGTATAGATTTGTACTTGTTTGTTTATTTATTGTTAGATAGAATGATCGCGCGATCGCAAAGTCGCGGTCAGGCGGAAGCTCGATTCTTAGAATCGAGACTCTGCGACTGTTTAGCCTCTAGTTCTTTTTTTTTATTAGCGACGTAAGAACGACTAAAATATTATTTTGTTGATATATACATATTATATAATGATTACTATTGATTATGAACTACGAATAATCTGTAAATATACGAGACCACCGCAGAGTCGTGTCTCTCCTATAATTTTCTTGGCAACATTTTCTCCTCCAGAAATATCCCAAATCCTATCAACGATTTCAGGACAGAGTTCCGGCTTCGAGTTTAGCGACAGCGTTTCGCAGTGAACTCGACAGTCGGTTACTTTGAATAATTACCTAAGCTATCACTTACTTGATGGCACAACGTCGCTCGTTGCATCTCTGTCGTCGTCGAGGATGATACGCGTGACCGGCTGTCGATGTCCTGTTCCGCTGGATTCTGCATCTTTACTCTTGAGATTCCTCCACGTGTGTGAAGCTGACCCCGCATTTTTCGAATTGTGCTGCATTGTGCTGCGTTTGTGCCGCAATCCGCAACTCTGTAATTCAAAGCGTACTCATGAAAATTAAGAAAAACTAAATTTTTTATAGCCCCGTACTTTTCGAATTTTGAGTTTTTCTTTATTGTGCCGTATTGTGTTGTGTTTGTGCTGATTTGTACCGCAAATGCGAGACCGGTAACTTCAATAACATTTGAGAAAAAAATAAAAACGAAAATTTGTCAGCCCCCCCCACTTTTGTCAGAATGAACCCAATTTTTGTTTGTGAATTCCTACTACGTAATTTGTGTCGCGTTATACCGTTAGAAGAAACTGGATATCTTCTTTCATTCAGTAGAAAAAAATATTAGTTAAAATACAAATTAACAAATAACTTTTTCTACAATGCATTTATCGCAAGTCTGCAAATTGTGTCTATGAATTGTGCTAATTGAGTACAATAAGAAACTTAGAGATGTACCGAAAACTACTCAGATTGCAAAAAAAACTTGCAAAAATTTGTGACGCAAAAGAAATTTTTCACATTTTCGAAATTTCGAAAGTTATGCCGGATTGTGCTAGTCAAACCCAACAACTTTTTCTAATTGCAAAATGTCCTCAGATGGCTGGTTTTCGCAGTACGAGCATTCAAAGAAAGTAATTTTTAGGAATAATTTTCAGATCACTATAGCTTTTGAATCGTGGTCGAGATATTCGAATTCTGCTAGTCGAGTACAACAAGAAACGACTAAGACATGTTCCGAAAATTGCATAGCTTGTAAAAAAATTGGCAAAAAATAGTAGGCCAAAAAATTTTGTTTACATTTTCGAAATTTTGAAAGTTGTGCCGGGTTGTGCTAGTCAAGCCCAACAACTTTTCCTAATGGCAAAATTATTGGTCTGTTCTTTCTAGCTGCACTACTGAACTGGTGCAATAAGTTAAAGTGAGAAAAAATATAGTTGTCTCATTCTAACTTATTGCACTAGTTCCACAGTGCAGCTGAAAAGAACAGATCATATGTCATACCATCGTAGTCCACAGTACAGCCACAAAAATATTTCAGTCCTGCCGCGCTGATCTGTATCTCTGTTTCTTTCCTTGGATGCTCGTACTGCAAGAACCAACCATCTGAGGACATTTTACCATTGAAAAAAGTTTTTAGGCTTAATTATTTACGAACCTTGGGGAGGACGAGAACATAAACGGCAGTGATTTGAACTTCAGGCCGCCATAACACGATAAATATACGGCGCAACATCCGGAAGCACTGTCGACGGCTCATACCGCGAGATATTTATTTTCGGTGACTGTTTGACAAACTTTGGCTAAGATAGCCACGCGAAACTCATATTCAGCATTTCTTATAATAAATCTTATAATAAACTCACCTTCAACGAGCCGAAATCTGGAGAAGACGCGGGACGCTCGTCGAACTGAAGATCTCGCAACTGAAGATATCACAATAATTACGATTCTCGATTTCGATATCGATGCATCGTACTAAATCGATACTATCGATATCTCTCTGTTCTGGGTGATTTATCCGGGCATCCGTCAAAAGACGTACAGTACAGTCGTAAGTACATAGAGAAGTACTCGAAAAATAATCTCCATATCTCCAGATGTAGTATTAGAAAATCAGCTGCTTATCGCGTCGTAAATTGTGGAAAAAATTAAAACGCAGATAGCGCAGCTCTTCCCCGGTGTACTATCTACACTTGAGAGTTGTTCCTCAGCAGGGCAGGGGTACCAATAATGATTCGCGAAACTCGCGCAAAGCCGCTATGAACTAGATGTCGCGAGCTGTACGGTAAGGCGTTTATGACGCCCTGTGCATCGTATATCGAATATTCATTTTCTCTCGCTGCAGTTGACGGCAGTGACAAGAGGTCACCATCCTCGCGCATGTAGATTCGCGTTCTCGTTTTTGCTCGGTGCCGTGGAATCTCGTTGCGAGGAATTGCGCGTTTCGCCAGTCTCTCTCTCTCTCTTTCTCTCTCTCTCTCTCTTTATCGTGTGCCTCGCACTCGTCCGTTGCCATATCCAACGCGAGCACGAGCTATCGTCCGTACGCGCCGATGCAGACGAGGACTCGATCGACGTCTGTTGGCTGACACGTCGCGCGTACTCCGCTGCAAAAGACAGCCCGGAACGCGTCCGACCACAAGCGAGGTTAGTAACGTACTGCGTATTTACCCAGCGTGATTTCCTCGACTTCTCGCATGTCAAAACAAAGCCAGTTTTTGCGCGCGCTCGATCGCGCCTATTGTGACGCGCGCGGCGAATGTCAGTCGATCTCGTAGAGGTTAAGTGAGTCGTCGCTCGTGTACGCATTATATTTCGACGTCGATTCTTTCGCTTGTAAGCAGACTTAGTCTTGCGGACGATTGACTTTGTGCGAAGCAGTAACGCGATACACGACGAACGTAGCACGAATATTCAACGATGAAGAGATAAATATGCAGGATGAGCAGGTATTTCGCCGAGAGCAAACGATTCGTCGAAAACGTCGGAACATGTAGAGAAAAGATTCTTTAGCAGCGAGGCTGCATTCTTTAGTACAAACCGTACAAACATAGAAATGTCCCTTTTATTGTCCTCAAAAACAGACGACTGTTCTGTATACGAAAATGGTGACAAGCTTACTGAGACATCATTTGCGCGAAGAAATGTTTGTCATTGATCTTTTGTTATTTTGTCAGGCTTGCGTGCAAACTATAGATAATGGTCACACGCAAGCGGATATATATCCTCGATAACGAATACGTGATCGTTTAATATTACAGTTGTATTATCGGGCAATCGTGTCGCATCGTGTTATGATACTGGAAACTCTGAAACATTATTCTTAGAAAATCCGGTTTATCGTGTCGCGACAACGAGGAGGAATGTCGAAGTTCGAAGTATGAAAGTAGCAAGAAATTGTCTTGTGTAATATTCGACGCTTCCTAACCTCGACAGCACGGTCGCGTTAGTTACCGACCGAGTAGAAAAAAGCGCCCGTTGACGAAGATAATCTACATTTTTGTAAATTTCCTCAAGCACAAATCTCACAAACACTGTTCTTTATTACAGGAGCAAGCTGGAGTTATATTCAGAATGAAGTTAGCTACTGAAAGTATCTTCCATTCGTCGCAACATAATCATAGTATGGCAGTGACTGTTCGTTCGATGTGCTAAAACATTTGCAAGAGCGCGAGTTCGCCGTAATTAATATGTCACAAACGGTCTTCTGAGAATAACACAATGGCACAAAATACCGTAGAGGACACCAAATCCGCGGTGGATAACACAGAAATGTCAGAAACATTGACCTACACGGTTGATAAAGCAGACTCCCGCGATGATAAAGGGAACGCTGATGAAGCGATGAACCCTGCCAAGGCAGAGTCTACTTCCGAAGAAAATAAAGAATCTGATAAGAAAAAAGAAATCGATGATAATTCGGTCAAACCACTCGACTCTAAAGAGCAATCGAACACCGATGAAACTGATCTCGATACAAAATCCAAGGAGGAGACTGATTCCAAGAAACAGTCGACTTCTGAGAAGACTATTAAAACAGGAACCAAAGAAAACAAGTCCGAAGCAAACTGCTCCGCGGACACATCCAATGACGCAGACGAGCGAGCAAATACGTTCTTCAACGCGGAAGAACAATTAAGCGAGATTTTGAAAGTCGTACACGAAGATCTGGATATTAAGTATTTTCAAAAATCAACTAATCAGCTCACGAATGCAAATGATAAAGACACTAGCGATAAAGATACCAGCAGCACAGAACAGCAGAATAAGAAGGCGGAAACTGTCGAAGAGCAAGATACGATGGAGAGTGTGACTTGCGTGACTGTACAAGATGCAGAAGAGAAGAAGGATTCGAGAGAGTCTCGAGAGTTAGAGAAGTCGGATGAAAAATCAGAGGTCGGAATTGTCGGTCCTCCAACCGCGGTGAGCGAACTTATCAACGAGGAGGAACTCGGTGGCGGTGATTCAGCCGACCAAAAAGATCACATTGCTGAATGGGTCGAGAAGTCGGCAAAGGCAGATACAGCAACACCAGCGAACGCTGAAGACGATGTTGCAGTTGAGGAACGTAAACAGCGAACTAACGGGAGCGAAGTGGAAACGAAGTGGAAGAACGAGGAAGCCGTGTCTATATCGTCCAGGAAATCGCAGAAAATCGTCAGCAACATCATTAAGAAGAGCATCAAATGGTGAGTGAAGCATTTAATTAATTGTCAACATTATCTCAACATTTAGTTGGTAACTGTCAATATTATTATGACTGATTTATCGTCGTTGACGAAGATCTTGCATATTCGAGAACTGCGTGGCGTTTTCTGTTTGATCGTTCAGTCTGAGTTATATTCGTATGTGTACACTGCGGTATATTGTGCACGTGCTCCTATGAAATTGCGTGTTTACGGGAGAATATAACTCTCGCAAAGTCGAGGATCTTTATCAGTAGGTCGTTGGTGCGCTAGCTGAAAACCACCAGCGACACGACGAAGCGACAAAATAGAACAAAAACACAACAATATTGCGCGATAGATGCTTTTTCGCTCGCACTTTTAATTGTCCTGCTCCGTCAAGTTGTTAGGTGAAAAAAAGAGAGGAACATTTTTATGATGTCGATGCAAAGAGATGGTTGGTATATTTTCCACGTTGTTAGCACGATTGAAAAGACGATATTCTAAGGAAACCTTGAAATACGCAATAGATAAGAAACAGAAATTTGATTTTAAAATTTGGATTTATGCAATAAGCTGGCTGCTTAAGATTATCTATTTTCTATTGTACACACTATTAGACGTTTCAGAGTTATCTTTATGATCTTTGATAGAGAGAAAGAGAGAGAGAGATCTATTTGACCTTTTATCTCCCCGCGTTCTCCTTCGTCTCTCGCGTCTCTCATCATCACTGGAAAGTCGCGCGCGTTCTTGCGCGGCCACCACAATTTCGTTCGCCAGCAGATATTTCTGGATATTTCTGGATGAACGTGTATTTCTTTTTTTTCCGCTGTGACCATTGACGATGGTGGCCGAGATTCGTGTTATCAGCCGATAAAACCAGGATAAGAGATGCTGACAGACGTGTAAACGTTAACAACGTTGTGAAATCGGAAGAGACAGAGATAGAGGGGGAGAGGGAAGAGGCGCAGCCGAGAATTGAAAAAGAAAAAGGAGCAGAGGGAGCGAAATATTGACCGTACAACGATAAGCAAACGGTGGTGCCGATAACAGGACAACTATTTCTGCAACGCGCCCTCTTCTCGCATCCGCTTACCTGTGAACGAGCGTCCCTTATTTTTCCGTATTTACATTATAAATATCTCACCATACAGCGTTCCACTCTTCTATGCGATATTGAAACCTCCTTAAAAGAAAAAGAGAAGGACAAAGAGAACAGTTTGACTCGCTTTTTCGTCTCTGTTGTTATCGCCTTTTAACCATGGGAACTGAAGTAATAGAAAGTTGGAAGAAGTTAATAGAAGATAAGTGATAAGCGGAAACGAGTACATTTTTTTTTTTAACTTTCGTTCCATCTCTACCCACTTCTTGAGTCTATTTTTACCTGAGGGATTTGCGAAAGGTCCTAAGGAGCTCTAATGAGATCCGCTTTCGACAAGGGCATTATTTTTCACCGGTATTAGGAAAAGGTGAACCAGCTGTGCAACAAATAGAAACGTTTCAAATTATTCCGTGAACTGTGTCGACGATTATCCTACGACTACTCTAATACAAATGTTAGAGAATACAATACCCATTGATGAGGTCGGGCATAACTCTGCTGCCGCCTATGTTGGTTATGATGGTATTATCGTTATCGAAGCGTTACCTCGATCTTTGCGTTCGCCGATATACATTCGAAAAAATCGAGACTGCAATTCATCGCTGCGACCGGTAGAAAGCCGCGTCGAGGACGCGCAGTGCGCGATTTCCGAGATTGAATTTATTACCTCGCATGTTACTTATGATACAGCTTTGCAGTTATATATGCATGTTGACGAAGTATTCAAATGAACAATGACGAGTGACCGTCGATTTTTACAGCTATTTTATTCTGGACGTGTTTTCTTCTTTCAATGATGGATACGTTTTGTATCTGTGCTCCTCTCTCGCTCAGATAATTGTCTGCGTAAGTCTTGGCAAGAATTTCGAAGCTCTCGAAAAGTCGCGAAGCAATGCAGCTGGTATATTCCGCTTGGTCGAGTCCAAACAGCTCTCGGGCCAATTGGCCCATAGAAAAATGAGAACTTTCCATACGAAGATTATATCCCGCGCGGGTTCGGTTGACAATTAAGTCGCTTGACCTTGCGTCTTCTTATCATCATTCAACTTATTTAAAGCCGATCTCTCTGACGTTAATGTGACGTTACACATAGATACACATAGAAGGCAATATCCCGATCCACCGTTACGGCGGATTACGTTCAACGGAATTTAATTTGCGGAATTACATAATCGCTCTTCATTATTAATTGCCGCCGGGGCAATCGCTCGCGAGCACAGAGTGACTTTAAGTTCTGTCACCGTTCGCCGTCGATCTCGAAATATAAACGCTCGAAATTGAAGAAGCGGACGACTCTTCCCAGACTCTTTTCGTGGATGAAGAAGTGGTGAAGATTAACATCAATTTAGAAGATAGTCAAGAAATACAATATGACCCGACGAGAAACGTAATTAAGATAAAATAACAAATGCCGTCAGAACGGATTCCTTTTAAGTGATCCGGACGCA